TTTGGCTACTGAGCTCCCCTTAAGGGAGAAAGAAAAACAAGAAAACGATTCTTTGCAACTTGTGCTTGGTCAGCCGTACACACCTAGGACCGTTAGCAGGAGATGTTTTGTTCGCTCCCTCACCCATCCGGGAGATTGCTATGGGAGATCAGGCACCACCTGGTCACCTACGGTCCCCATGGACCTAATTGGGAAGTGGCTAAAGGGCAGGGCAGGGCTGAGGCTGCTGACCAGGAATTTTCTCTGGCAGGCCGTAGGAGAGATCTCCATGGTGTTCACTAGTGTGGACCATCCTCCATTCTCACCCTAAGCCCTGAAGGTCCCTGGCCTCATCAGGGTGTCCTGTCCCTACATCCTGTCTCATTGGACAATGTGTCCTCAACACAACCCGTTATGACTTCCCCTGGTTCCATTCCCCCTTCCTTGTTCCTTTTGCCTCCCGCCCCCCCCCCCCCCCCCCCCCCCCCCCCCCCGCTGCCACCTTTTATCTTTTTTCTGGTTCTGCAAACCAGGCCGATGTGCCAGACCACAGCCGTTTATTTTTACTCTCCAGGCAAACTCCTTGGCTGCCCTCGCCTGTCTTTCCCAGTGACCGTCTTTTCTCAGCCACTATTCCTAGACTGGATTTTTGAACACATATTCCTTGCTCTGTTTAGATTTTTTTCCCCCTCATCTTGATACTTTTTGGCTCCATACTCCCATCTTAACCGCCCCCTATTCAGGGTTTAATTAGCTTTTGTGCCTGGTGTCCTGTAAAATGACTTTAAAGAATTAAAAAAATGGCAAAATAGTTGTCTACCCTAAATAGCTTGAAGCTAAGGATAAAAATGGCAACAACAAAAACAACTCCAGCATCAGCATCCATTGAGTGCTTTATGTGCGCCAGCTGTTGCGTTCAAGGATGTTCATTTAAGCATTACAACCTCCTGTTGAGGACCCGCTCTGGTCAGTCTGGCTCGGCTTCTTGGATCAAGTCTTGTGAGGACAGTTTTGGGAGTCCATCCATTGTTTTCACTGACAGTTGGTGAGGACCCCCTCTTCTTCTCCAGTAGGCCCTTCTGGACTACAGAGGCTGAGCAGGAATACAGGCTTTATGAATGACTGGAAACAGAGGAGGAACTGGAAACCGGAGGAGCCCCACATGTTCAGAAGGGAGGGGCAGCCTGGGAGCAGCAGTCCTTTGAATCGGGCTGGGCCCAGCTCAGAGACTTCTGATGAGTCAGCCACTTTCAACCACTGCGTTCCAGGGCTCCTGCCCTTGGTGGCGGGACTTGGTTGGGGAGATTGTTGGGGGATCATTGGTTCTTACCCTATCAACCTGGGATTCATTAAAAATAAGAGATCAAGGGAACGGGGTAACCATGGCTCTCTAAAGGACAGATCCCTGCAGCTCGGCTCATCCTCTGAGGTCAGGGGCTGCTGGTGCACTGGGAGGGGCCTGCTGTTTCTTATTTCACGTTTGGCCAGGTCTTCTATTGCAGCTGTAACTCAGGGATTCACAGGGAATGCTAATTTGAGAATGGCGGAATGGCTGAATGGACAGACTGGGAAGGTTTTGAAAACTAACTTGGGCTGGGCTGTTGAATGGCTCAGGAGGGTGAAGGCACCTGCTGCCAAGCCTGGCAGTCTGAGTTTGAGTCTCAGGACCTACTCGGCAGGAGGACAGAACCAACTCTGGTTCTCTGGTCTCCACACTGTGGCACATGTGCTCATACAGTCTTTCTCGTTTGCTCTCTGCCCAACGAAACAAACAAATGTAATAAAAAAAGAACTTGACAGGACCCACACACCTACACTTTTCATTTTAACCATTTCCTCTCTTTCTAGTGAACATTGATGGGTTTTATGTCCAGGATCACTCTTAGCTGCTAGTCTCCATGGAAACGCCCCAAAGAGGGGAGCTACCCGAAATAGTCCGGGATGGGTTCCTCTCAGAACTCTTCTGACCGAGCTACAATGAAGAGGGGCTGTGTTCATGTCCCCAGGAGAGAACAGCTGTGAAGCTGAGATCTGGCCAGACTACCCTTGCAGGGAGAAGCCTTGGGTGGCACTATTGGTTTTGTAGGCTCAGAACCCAGCATCTGTGGAAAGATCAGTCACCTTCGCCTCCATTACACATTGCATTGTTGAGAGGTGCCCCACTTTGATGCACTGGGGCCAGGCTTGGGATCAGTGCCACAACTGTCAACTCACAATACACACACACTCTTTTATACACACACACACACACACACACACTCTTATACACATACACTGCCTGTCTCTCTCTCTTACACACTAACTGTCTCTTTCTCTCTCACACACACTCACATACACACTGTCTCTCTCACACTCATTATCTCTGTCTCTCTCATACACACTCATTGTCTCTCTCGCACACACTCAGACACACACACAGTCTTTTTCACGCACACTCATTGTCTCTCTGTCTCTCTCTCACACACACTTACTGTCTCTCTCTCACACATACACACACACTCACTGTCTCTTTCACACACTCACACACACACTCTCTCTCACACATACACACCCACACATATGCACACACTCAGGTTTTATTCATGTCTAGAATAGAGCTCCAGGAGTTATTCATGGACTTATAGTGTTGTCTCATTGGTAACACTTGGAGTGGAGACTTTTGAAACAAGATAGAGACAAGCTTCTGAGGAAATCTGAAGCAGTGTTTCAAGGATTTCATGTACAATCCAGTGTTTTGAAGAGATTAACGATAGCCTATATTGTCTAAGGCTCCCTTTATATATTATATGTACATGTTTATATAGCTATATATCTAAATATACTTCTAGATATTGAAATAGACTCTTGCTTTGACTGGCCAAGTACTTGCAATATAGTCCAGGCTGGCTCCAACTCATGACCATAATCTTTCTGTAGCCACCTGGCTGCTAGGGGTATAGGTGTGCACCACCAAGCCTGGTCTACAGGTTTAAGTCCAGAATTTTGGTATACTGTTTAGCAATGAGCTCAGTTGCAACAACATAGAACTACCTATCCCCGAACCTTTCAGTTGGCACCAGTCCGTGTTTGGACTGGTTTAGGCAGGCAGGAGGGCTTCAGCGGTTCAACGAACTTGTCCTTTGCCTCTCTTCCTTTCTTCCTTTTCTTATTTTACTTCTGTGCTGGGGATGGAACCCAGGGCCACGTGCATGCTAAACATTCATGGTACCACTGGAATATTTTTCTAGGCTCCTAAAATGTAATTTTAGAAGGTATAATTTTCATACATACAAACAAAAAAATGTCTACCAAAGACTTTAGTCAGTTTAAACAGTGTGGGAAACAGAAGGTTGTTGGAACTAGTTCAAAAGGGAATTCAAGGAAGGGAGTTTTATAGTTGGCCAGGCATGTGGAAATGAATTGGCCAATGGATTTTTAAAAACTAGCTAATGTCTGTGAAACAATCAGCTTTAACCTTCAGTTCGTGTATTCTCTACCAGGTAGATGTCATTGACATTTTTGTTAGACAGAATCACATGTGTTTTTCTCATAAAATAGATTTATATTATCATTAATTTCCTGTGTTAACCTCTACCAGTACAAAGTTACACAACATCCTAATCAGTTCAAGACAAAGATACAGGTAGTCACCAGGCAGTGTTGGCACATTTAATCCCAGCACCAGGGAGGCAGAGGCAGGTGGATCTCTGAGTTTGAGGCCAGCCTGGTCTACAGAGTGAGTTCCAAGACAGCCAAGGCTACACAGAGAAACCCTGTCTCGAAAAACCAAAACCAAACGAAACCAAAATAAAACAAAAGATGCAGATAGTCTCTGACCATGACAGGTTATTTTCCAAGTGTGTACTGTCCAGATGTTGAGATGGATAAAATTCAGTCATAATAAAATAGATGTTTGACTAGATGAGAAGTTTTGGAGATATCAGGAAAACACCCAAGTAATTAGGATTATTCTGTTGGAAATAGATTTGTTGGGGACAAAGCCATAAATAATAGTTATGGCCAAAGAGGGCCCTTCAGAAAGCTGGGTAAGAGAACTGACAGGGGTAACTGGACTCATGAGAAGGAATAGATCTTCCTTCTGTTCCTGGGAGAAAAAGCCTTCCCTGAGGCACTGTAGGCAGAGGGAGTTTATTTACCGGAGGCCAGGGACACCAAGCCAGGAGCAGCTGCCTGGCGTTTACTTCCTGGCTGCCCTTCTCAGGCCTCTTTTGGGCCCCTGGCTGTCCTTGTCCCTCCATGAAGTCTTCCCTCTGCCTTTTGTCAACATGGGGACTCTTCACTTCTGAGTGTTGTCTTGAAGCATCCTCTTGGCTTATCAAATTCTTGCACAAATCCCGTGAGACAGATCCGGCATTTCGTAGAGGCGAGGTGAGTTGCTCAGGGGTGCAGCGTTAAGCACACTGGTGTCCAACTCTGAATGCCATGTCCTTCCAGTCTCTGTCAGCCTTTCCTGATCATTCCAGTTCTTTCCAGCGTTGAATGCTTGGCCTCTAGGACAGGTGTATTGGAAAGCTTAGCCCCTGTTGACACAGTGGGACATGGCCATTAACGTTACCCTGCCTCCTGCCCAACGGTATTTAGGTGTTAATCTTAGAGCATCCTCTGAGTCCTCAGGTCCTCTGTGTAGTGGCTGTGATGACAATAGACAGCTGGAGGAGGCACATGACCATTACTCCGGGACTTGGATTTTCAGCTGCCCAGTGTAAGTTAAAACCATCATTAATGACAGCCTTTCTGTCAGTGATGATGGGACATTTGGGTCTGTGGCTCAGTCCCGGCAGCTGCTATCACTGTGGACTCACCAGCTGATACAGTAATGAGTTTCTCCCCATCTTCTTTCTTTTCTTTCTTGCTTATCAATAGCCCATGTTTGGTAAATGTCTACGGTAAGGTTGGGGTGTGTTTGTGTGTACCTGGGAAATATTCACCTTCGTGATTGGGAAATTTGGGGTAGTTGGGACAGGATGGTCACTGCATTGAGCAATCAGGTGCTAATGTCTATTTACGTCTCCTTGTTGCAGAGTCCAACATCTGTACCACACGAGGCGTGAACTCCTGCCAGCAATGTCTGGCTGTGAGTCCTGTGTGTGCCTGGTGTTCGGATGAGGTAAGGAGCCTAGGCCTTATTTTATCAATGCAAGCACAACTCTCACTTTAAAAGGAATATGAGGAAGTTTATTCTGGAGCCAAATGTCAGTGACAGTGGCCAAAAAACACGGATTCAGGTTGCTTCAAATACTGTGTTCCCAACATGATGACCAGTTTAATGAAGGCTTTGTAGTAACAGAGCAAAGAAAGTAATGAAGCATGGTGTTTTAAAAATACATTGGTGAAACATAGGTAGGGTGGGTTGCAGAGAAGAGACAGAGCCTCTGCTGTAAGTGTCTGACACTGCCTGATAGCGCTCCTCGTCTCTGGGTTGGTGGAAGCTAGGAGTCTGCAAATTCCAAAAAGGACTTTACTTGATAGTCTCAAGAATGTTAGGTCCAAACCCAGAGGTGGGCGCAAGGCGGCTCTTTAGAGGGATAACATAGCCCCAAATAATTTGGCTCCCAACTTGTAGCACTCCTTTGGCCTTGCAAAGTGATCAACACGGGTGTGCCCACCTCCCTCCCAAACTTGAGTTCACACCTCGTTTCCCTGGATTTAGATGCTTTGGTGTAGGCACAGACACAGGGAACGATTTCTTTCCTCCTAAACACAGTCTCTTTCTCTTGCTGAACAGGACTAGGTGAAGCCTTCCCATTGACGGATGGTGGAAAGCTGGCGAATGAGTCTAGAGACTGTTTTGTACTCTCAGGCCCAGCCAGTTTGCTTGGGTGTCTTTTCTTGCTGTGACTGTTGCTACCCTTCACCAGCCTGTGCTTGCTTTGTGCTAGAACATCTCAGGGAAGAGGGACTTTAGTCTCAAAAATGGGAGAGTGGTGCTAGGGGCATGGAGGGATGCCAGCTTATTTTTCCCCCCAGAATGAAAAAAAAAAACAAAAACAAAAAACAAAGACCTAGAAGAGGAATCGTGTGTGTGTGTGTGTGTGTGTGTGTGTGTGTGTGTGTGTGTGTGCATGTATGTGTGCGTATGTGTATGTGTGTGTATGTATATGTGTGTGTGCATATTCTTAGAGATCCTTTTTCCTTCCCTTTTTTCTGATAATGAGGCCTTTGCCTTCCTTCCTTCCTTCCTTCCTTCCTTCCTTCCTTCCTTCCTTCCTTCCTTCCCTCCTTCCCTCTCTGAGGTGTCAATGGGGAAGTAGCAGAGCCCACTGGGAGGACCAGAGGGTGACAGGAAAGGGTCAGCCATGTCTAGGCAGAGAGTCTGTTGTGTCTGAGGCCCTAGGGAATGAGTGTGTGAGAGAATGGCTATGTTTGTGGCCGGGCTGGGAATTTGGAGCTGGCAAAGGCTGATGGGGAGGTAGGGGGTGCATGTGGCTGGAGAGGTTCCCAGCAGTTACAGTGGGAATGAGTCACCACCTCCAGCAGATGGTTACCTGAGCTGCTGGCCTGGCTGCGCCTCAGCCACCTGAGTCGGCCACTTGGTTGAGAGCCACACCTCCGCTCTGTGTGGCTCCTGTCTATTCTAGCTATCTCCTCACGGTCTGCTTCTCTTCTGGATCCTCTGAGTTTCCTAAAAAGGCAGCCTCCTGGGCAGACTGGGGAGGAAGGAGCAGAAGGCTGTGTTTATCCCCTAGAGGAGGGCTGCCAGAGCCTCCATCCACAGCTTTGGCCTTGGTGCTGTTCAGCACGGGGACTGCTTCTAGAGGCAGCTGCCTAACATCTGGACCAGACTGATCTCATTTAGCAAATGAAACATTCTCTGGGGCCTGGGGAGGGTGAGCCCTTCTTCTCCACCCCCACAGGTGCCCCTCCCCTCTGGGCTACACTGGAGGCTCAAGTGTGGCGTGGCGTGGCGTGGCGTGGCGTGACTTCCTACTTCTCATCTGTCATATCTCCTGCCTTTGGTCACCATCATGATTTTGTTAAGCTTCCTTTCTGAGGAAGTTGTAATTCTGCAACAATGCCAGGGGAAGGAGTGGGATGTAGAGGGCGTCTTGTTTGGATTGGTTGGCCTGCGGCTGGCTGACTGGAACAGAGGGGAGCAGAGAGAGCCCCCTGAAGAAGACCTAGAGGTACTCAAAGGGTGTTCCCCTCCTCCCCTCCCTTTCAACCTAAAGTTAATGTGGAGATAGTCAAGTGAGTCTTAAGGAAAGAGAGAATCCCCCAGAGTCTGTCCTTTAGGGGGTGTCCAGTCCTGTCCCATTCTCCTCTGCCATTTTTTACCTATCTGGGTTTTATAGGGACAAGTTGAGCTGAGTCCTGACCAACCAAAGCCCCTCCTTAGGCCGTATGAACAGATTCCACGTGGCCAGATGCAAATGCACAATATTTATCGGTCACTATGGTGAAATCTTTGCCCTCTGGGGCAGACTGAGTAGCCAGAGGGAGAGAGGCTGGAGAAGGATCGGCCTATTGATGGGGTGGAGTCAGGAAACAGGGGGCAGCTAGGCCCAAAGGAAACTCAGGAAGGGAGGTAGGAAGCCCTCAGAATGGACTATAGTGAATGACAACATCTACCATTACTAAGTAAGTGAGAAGGAGGAGGAATGGGCCGGGGAGTCGGATGTGGTACAGAATGTGTCAAGCAGGGAGGAACCCTGGACTGTAACTAGAACATGGCTGTTATCTTTTTCCTGAGGAAGCGGGACTTCCCTTGCACAGGGCAAGCTTAACTATTGAAAGTGTTCGATCTTGACTTAGAAAGACCACAGGTGGGGCTGGGGGCGCTGCTCAGCCCTCTGCCTCCCCTGTCTTGACTGTTCCAGGCAGCGCTGATGGGGGCACGTGCCTCTGAAAACAACTGGCTGGGCTCAGCTTCTGGTCCTTAAAGGACAGCAGCTCTTGGGTGTGTATAGCAAGCACTTGGCTGGGTAAGAGGAAAACAGAGCCAGTGCGCCTGAGTGGGGTGTTTTGGGCCCATCTGCATAGGGTGTGTTCTTAGAGAGATAGCTATGTGGTTAGATAACGTGGGTTTGGGTAATGTGCTATCTCTGGTCTGTGCAGCTAGCAAAGACACCAGCTTCACACCAGGGCTAGTAGGCCTTGTATTCTTGGCTTAAGTGGTATCATACTGGAGTCTAGAACTTTCTGAAGTCATATGGTAATTTAAAAAGCCTGAAGTGTTTGTTAAATATAAAGGCTCCCAGGATGGACCCTGGACCTATGGCACCAGAACAGATTGCTATGGTGGCAAGGGGGATAGCATTGCTTCTGGTGGAGGCTGGGACAGGACAGGGAGGGTGGAGGTAGAATTGGGGTTGCCATATAAATACAGAGAACCCAATCCGATTGGATTAAATTGCAAGTCATTTTTCCATCTTGGTATGCTTTGAATATTTTCTAAGTTTGGCAACCTTAAGGCAGGACGAAACGCTAGGAATTGATACACAGCTTGAGCACATGTTGGAAGGTAGACCAGCTTAAAACCTGACATCTAAGAATGAAAGAGGAAGAATGCGGTTTGGGGCTAGCAAGTGGAAGACTCCAGTAGGGCTTCCTTCCCCGTATCTGTAGGGAAAGAAAGGCTCAGGACGCTAATTACGGTTTGTGTGTATGTGTGTGTGTGTGTGTGTGTGTGTGTGTGTGTGTGTGCGCGTGTGTGTGTGTGTGTGTGTGTATATGTGTGTGTGTGTGTATGAGACGGGGCGGGGGGGGGGGGGGGGGAGATTATCAGGGTTTCATGATCATGTCTGTAGTTTCTTCATATTTATTTTTAACATGGAGCATTGATGTCTACCTTGAGTTTGTCCCCAAATTGTTATTGTGTGTACACACACACACACACACACACACACACACATATATATACATTATCTATCTATCTATCTATTTATCTATCTATCTATCTACCTATCTATCTATCTATCTGGCTAGCTAGCTAGCTATGGTGTGGTAGTTTGAAAGAAAATGGCCCCAAAGGGAGTGGCACTAGTAGGAAGTATGGCCTTGTTGGAGGAAGTGTGTCATTGTGGAGGCAGACATTGAGGTCTCATATAATGCTCAAGCCACTCCCAGTGAGACAGTTTACTTCCCGTTGCAAGCAAAATATAGGGTTCTCAGCTACTTCTCCAGCACCATGTCTGCCTGCCTGCCACCATGTCCCGGCATGATGATAATGGACTAAACGTCTGAAACTGTGAGCTGCCACCCCAGTGAAATGTTTTCCTTTATAAAAGTTGCCGTGGTCATAGCATCCCTTCACAGCAATAGCAACCCCAACTAAGACAGCAGGATCTGGCCATGTAACTCAGTTGGTAGAGTGCTTGCATTACATGCATGAAGCCCTGGGCTCCACCCAACACTTGATAGCCTGGGTATAGTGGCCACATGCCTGTAGTCTTGGTCCTCAGGAGGCAGAGGTAGAAGGATCAAGGTGAAGGTAGAAGTTCAGGGCTGGGGCTAGGGAGATGGATAAGAGCACTTGCTGTGAAAGCAAGAGGACATGAGTTCAAATCCCCAGCACCCTCTTAAAGCTGGGCATGGCTGTGCCTGTAACTCCAGTGTTGGGGAGCAGAGACAAGTAGATCCCAGGAGCTTGCTGGTCAGCCACGCTAGCCAAAGCAGTCAACTTTAGATTCACTGAGAGACCTTATATCAAAAAAAAAAAAAAAAAAAAAAAAGGTGGCTGGCGGTGGTGGTGCACGCCTTTAATCCCAGCACTTAGGAGGCAGAGGCAGCAGATCTCTGTGTGTTCGAGGCCAGCCTGGTCTACAGAGCGAGATCCAGTACAGCCAGGGCTACAGTGGAGAACCCCGTTTTCAAAAAAGAAAGAAAACTGGAGAGGGATAGAGGAAGACATCCTCATGTGTGTGCACAGGCACACCTACACATACATGTATATGTGCATAACACACACACACAGAGGCACACACGCACACACGCATGCACAATATAAAAAAGTTCAAGGTAATTTTTGCATATATAAAAGTTCAAAGCCAGCTTGTGCTAAGTGAAATCCTGCCTCAAAAAACAAACAAACAAACAAACAAACAGAAAAACCCCAAACCAATAACCCAGTGGTAAGAGTGTGTCCCTCACAGTCGTAACCAACAAAGCATGAATCCTAACAGCTGTGTACTAAATGCCTTCTTCTCCTTTGTCTCCTTCCACGCTTCTCTGTGTTCAGGTAATTTTTTTACCCTTACTGAGTGAGCCAATCAGACAGCAGTGTCTGAGTGGGGCTGGGGAGATAGCCCTGTGCTAAAGCCTGGCACCTAGTGCCGAGAAAAAGAAAACCTCGAGGGTGTGTTTTCCCCTGCCTTCCTCCAAGGAGCAAGGGCACAGTAACCGTGGTAGTTACATCGGCATCTGCAGGAAAGCGGCTGCTGTTACTTACCCAGGACCCCCAGAGGATTTGAGTGTGTTTGACTCATACTGAGACTTCGTGTTATGAAATCATCTCACAGTCTTATTTTAGCCCCTGCCCAACCCTGTGAGACAGATATCACAGTGACTATTATTCATGCTGTACTTTTCCCAAACAGGATTAAGGGGGACTGGTCCTAATAACATGCATGTGTCACTGTCTCAGGAAGGGGAGGTAATCCACCAGCTCCCAGAGCTCAGGGCCGGGAGCCTCCCACCTCTGTGGGTGATCTCTTCCCGCCAGGGGGCGGGGCTTGACTCTTTTGTGTAACATCCGGTTTTGGTGGGAACTAGAACATTAACATCAACCCCTTTTCTAGTTTTCTCTTTGAGTGACCGGGAGATATCCCCTCTTCCATCTGTGCCTGGGGTGGGAATGTGGCCAAGTGTGTTGAGGACATTGCCTTGGTATCTTCCCAGGGCAGTTGGCTCTCAGGAAGAGCTGGGCCAAGGAACCTGTTATGTTTCTGATCTCTGAGGTCAGCGATCACCAAGGGAGGGAGCTGGCCTGAGCTTATTTTTCAGATTTTTTTTTCCCCAGTATTTATGTTTATTTTTCTAAGGAAATTCATAGGAAGCATAAAGACTGCCAGCACGTGTGAGCATTCAGTTCTGCTTATTAAGACTGTGAGGTTAGAAAGCAGGAATGAAGAAAGCCCTCAGAAGCGCCCTCTCCCCATGCAGAGCCTGAGGATGGTGGTGGCTTGCTGCCCCCCCTCCCCCCCCCAGCTCCCTGGTTTCCCTTCCTGGTTCCCTCCTCCAGCCTCTGTCTTGTTCTGGAAAGGCTCAGCTCCTCTGGCATCTTGGTGATCTCATCATTGCCTTTTTGGGAAGGTTTCCTCTGAAGTCTGTGGGCAGTTGGAATTAGAGATAGATTTGTGTGTGTGTGTGTGTGTGTGTGTGTGTGTGTGTGTGTGTGTGTGTGTAGTGTGTAGTGTGTTGTGTGTATGTGTGTGTGTTGTGTATGTGTGTGTGTGTGGTGTATGTGTATGTGTGTGTGTGTGGTTATGTGTATGTGTGGTGTATATGTGTGTATATGTGTGTATATGTGTGTATATGTGTGTGTGTGGTGTATGTGTGTGTGTGGTGTATGTGTGTGTGTGGTGTATGTGTGTGTGTGGTGTACGTGTGTGTGGTATATGTGTGTGTGGTGTATGTGTGTGTGTGGTGTATGTGTGTGTGTGGTGTATGTGTGTGTGTGGTGTATGTGTGTGTGTGGTGTACGTGTGTGTGGTATATGTGTGTGTGGTGTATGTGTGTGTGTGGTGTATGTGTGTGTGTATATGTGTATGTGTGGTATATGTGTATGTGTGGTATATGTGTGTGTGTATATGTGTGTGTATGGTGTATGTGTGTACTTGTGATGTTACTTGTGCCGCCATCTACATAGGGCAGGTCTTCAACTCCTCGAAGGGGAGGCTTTTGTGCTTTAGAATGTGCGGGTGTCTTTGTGGATCAATCCCTCTGCAGATGTCCTGGTGCCCAGGTTCTGCACAGCTGGACAGAAGGACATTGTCCATCTCTTCCCACACTTCTCACATCTCTATCTTGTATCTGGTTCTCGGAATGCCTGGGGCATTTTCTGCTGTGGCTCCTCCCAGGACTGTTCCTCCCAACCAGCTTTTCTACTTTGTATTACGTTCTCTCCAGAATGCAATAAAACTTACTTTATGAGGCAGAAACCCAAGCGGCATCTTAGTTGTGTCTCTCCCAAGCTCTCTAACTCCAAATCACTTAACTTCTTTGAGCCTCAAACTTCTCACTCCCCCGAAGTTGAGTTCTTCACTTGTGAAGCCTCCTACCTGTAGGTTCCTCACTTGTGGAATAATAATTAGTAATTCCAGCCTTCCCAAGCTGTTGGCATTACATGACTCCTGTGAGGTGCCGGCCCCAGGCCTGCACGCAGCAAGTGCTCAGTAAATGTTAATAACTGTTCTGGGATATGGATACTTTTTTTTTTGTGGGAGTGGGACGTGTTGGAAGGAGGTTCTTAGGAAAGGCTGAAGACCTAGACATCGGGAAACAGGTCCAGGTAGGGGTGTGCCAGCTTTCAGATCAGTCTCCTCAACCTGGCAAGTGACAGTTAGACATGTCCTCTGGTTAAATACGCTTAGTGCCAGAGTGAGGACAGCTGGACATGCGCTCACACAGTTCTGGTTAAGTACGCTTCCTGTCGGGGTACGACAGAACTGAAGGCATTGTGTTCCCTAACCCCACTTACGGAACAAATCAGAGTGACTTCTGTGGGATCACACAGCTAGCTGGTGGTGACCTAGCTCTGGGGCCTGTTTTCTGGTTCCAGTGTCCTTCCAAGAACATTGCATTCTTGCATGTGAGCACACAGAGTCCCGAAGGCTGAGGGATACGTATCAGTGTGGTTTTTGTCCAGCACGAAGGAGGAAAGTAACAGACTAGGCTCTGGCCAGCGGCCTGTCCTCATGGTGTTTTTCCCAGCTTGTGGAAGTAGCTCATCCAGGAACTACTTATCAACACCTCATATTAGTAGCTCGTGCTTATTGAGCACTCACTGTATACATGGTCTTATTTAGCCTGGCATGACATCCCTGTGACGGAGGATTCTTCTTATTGTTAGTTCTTTTTAAACTAATTTTTTTTTATTGTGGTAGAATACATATAACAGAATTTACCATCTTGACCTTTGTGTGTGTGTGTGTGTGTGTGTGTGTGTGTACATATGGAGATCTATTTTGTGTGTCTTTCTCTATTTCTTGAGACTCAGGGTCTCTCCCTGAACCTGGAGCTCACCCATATGGTTAACGTAACTGGTGAGCAAGCCCCAGGGATCCTCTTGTCTCTGCCTCCCTAACTCTGGGTTTGCAGGCACATGTCACCAGACCCATCCATTCCTTCCATCCCCCCCCCCCCCCCCCCCCCCCCCCCCCCGCCGAGACAGGGTTTCTTTGTGTAGCTTTGGAGCCTGTCCTGGATCTCACTCTGTAGCCCAGGCTGGCCTCGAACTCACAGAGATCTGCCTGCCTCTGCCTCCTGAGTGCTGGGATAAAAGACGTGTGCCACCATCGCCCGGCCCATTTTTTTTTTTTTAACGTGGATGCTGAGCTCAGGTTCTCATTCTTGTGCGGCAAGTATGCACCATTTTCTGACTGAACCGTTGCCCCAGCATTCATGTTATTATTTTTCCATCTTAACCGTTTTTAGTATACAGTTGAGTGACATTAAATCTGTTTATAATGTGAAGCCCTCACCATCATCCATCCCCATACCTAATTTCACTTTGCTAATCTAAAACTGTGGGCCTATTAAACAACTCTTCCTTCCTCCTTCTCCCTGGCCCCTAGCAGCCATCATTTCCCCTTCTGTCTCTGTGGTTTCGATTGCTGTTTGTAGCTAAGGAAGACTTTTACACGTCACGTTAAGGCTGAAGGAACTGGGCTTGGAGAGCTGAGTGTCGTGCTTTGGTGCCCAGTCAGTGGCGACACCGAGGGTCTGTCAGCCAGCTGGTTCCTGTGCTCTTATTCTTTGTCCTCACCGTCTCCCCTCTGTCCACTTTGTCGTGGGTGCAGAGGGGAGACAGGAAACACAGACCTTAGAAAGCAGCCAGTAGCCAACACAACAGTTTTAAATGGTTTCAACCTTGACCCTCGGGAAGAAATACCTCAAAAATTATTACTCATTATATATGCTAGATTCCATCCTCCAGTAAATAAAAGTTTCCCCAAATAACATCGAAACTTCTATTTACATACGTGGGTATTTTCTATTCCATTCAATTGTGTTTTACTTAGTAAACCTGATTTTGAGACTCAGAAACTAATTTCAATGCACCCTCTTCCCAGCTGTCAGCCGTGAACAGGCCCTGACTCAGCCTGTTCACCCTTCCTGTATGTGTCCCTAGGAATCATCCTAGGAAGGACCACAGCAGTTTTACAATAAATTAGCCCCAAAGGGCTGGGTAAGCTCTAAGCCATTGAGAGGTGACATGTCAAGAGGGGGTGGGGGTGGGGAAGGGGCACATAGCCATGCTAGCTCTGATGTCAGGGTAGCTCTGATGTTGGGCTCCTGTCTACACAGGCTCTGCCTCAGGGCACACCCCGCTGTAACCTGAAGGAGAACCTGCTGAAGGACAACTGTGCTCCAGAGTCCATTGAGTTCCCAGTCAGTGAGGCCCAGATCCTGGAGGATAGACCACTCAGCAGCAAGGCCTCTGGAGACAGCACCCAGATCACTCAAGTCAGCCCCCAGAGGATTGCCCTTCGACTACGGCCAGGTAGGCACGGGGCTCATCCTGGGGAGAGACCTGGTACAAGTGGGCAAGGGACATCAATAGAGGTCTGAACAGGAACTCTTGGTGGGGAGGGGCAGCACAGAATAGGAATGGGGTGGAGAGAGGAGAATGGTGTGTGTGTGTGTGTGTGTGTGTGTGTGTGTGTGTGTGTGTGTGTGTGGTGGTTGTGGGCAAGGGAATGGAAGAAGATAAGAGGTATCAGGATTTGAGTCAGAAGAGTGTGAATCCCAGCTCCACCATGTTCCTAGTTATTTGGCTGGTTACTAGCTACTTAACCCTTCTGGCACTGCTCATTCCTGATGTGTTTTACCTAGTTTATAGCTTTGTGTGGAGGTGCAAACGAGAGAAAGGATGAGAAAGCAATTTGTAAGCCCGTTTTCCACAGGGGATAGTGACTATTTAGGAGCAGACAAAGTAGGAACAGAGGAGGGTGGAGTATTAGGCTAAGAGTGAGCTTTTCAGTGCTTGACCTGGCTGAATCAGTGAGAGTTTGAGAGAGCCCTACTGTGTGCAAGGCATCTATGGGATTTGGAGAAACGCAGCAGGGTGCTATTTATTTACTTTTGAGACGGGACCTCTGTGTAGCCTGGAATTCACTGTACAGCCCAGGCTGGCCTTGACTTTGCAGGAATCTCCCTGCTTCTGCCTCATGCATGCTGGGATTACAGGCATGTGCTACCACAGCCAGCACCATTTCTGTCCTTCACAGAGTCTGAACTGTAGCAGCTGCCAAGAGTTGTATGACTTGGGATAGTATACCCTGGGGACTCAGAGGGTCACACACGGGAGTTTATAGATGGTGGGAAATCACAGAATAGAAAAGATGAAGTTCAAGAGACTGCAAGAGGAATGGAGTTGTAAGGCAGGGGTGGGGTGGGATGGGGGAGACGAGCAAAGCTTCCAAGCTTAAGCTGATCAGTTATTTATCCCCTATAAATACTTATGTATTTATTTCTAGGACTAGAGAAAAACTAACATCCTTCTGCCTTCCAGATGATTCGAAGATTTTTTCACTTCAAGTGAGGCAGGTGGAGGATTATCCTGTAGACATCTACTACTTGATGGACCTGTCCTTCTCCATGAAGGATGATTTGTCGAGCATCCAGACCTTGGGTACCAAGTTGGCTTCCCAGATGCGCAGGATTACTAGCAACTTTCGGATTGGCTTTGGGGCCTTTGTGGACAAGCCTGTATCGCCATACATGTACATCTCCCCACCAGAGGCTCTCAAAAACCCCTGCTACAGGTAAGTCCTTTCTCCACAAGCCAGTGGAGCACCCTTCCCTTTGTCTCAGGCTGGTCCAAGTCCTGGTTGCCATTTTTAAATCCAGTTTTTTTTTCTTTAAACATTTATTATTTTTATTTCTATGTATATGTATGTGTTTGTGTCCGTTTGTATATATGCGTGCCGGGTGATTGTGGAGGCCAGAGGAGGGGCTTAGATCCCTTGGGGCTACGGTGGTTGTGAGCTGCCTAACATTGGTGGTGGCAACCAAACTCTGGACTTCTGGAAGAGCATCAAATGCTTTAACCATTGGGCCACCTCTCTAGCCCCTCTAAGGTTGTTTTGTTGACTGTGTGATGCCAAACCATATTGTTTTCAACTTGTTCTCTGCCTGGCAGATGGGCCCACTGTCTGGAATATTATGCCAGTAGGCTCAAGGCTGCGAGGGGTCTTATACAGAAATGTCATCAGCTTATTGGCTTTGTCACACATGAGCAGAGGGAAAGAGGAAAGTGAGGGGGGCGGGGATGAGGTCAAAAGCAGAGAGAAGTCTGGATGAGTAAAAATGTAATTGTGATTCCAGAAGTGTCATTATTCTAGTCATCAAGAGCACAAATTTTGCAAAGTTAAAATGCAAGAAAATTAAATCACTTTATTGAATTCTTTAACAGATTATAAAAGGTTAAGTTCTTCTATTTGCCTGCTTTATAAGAATATATATGTATATATATTTTAAATTTTGTTTCATGTGTATCAATGTTTGCCTGCATCGTGCATGTCTGTGTACCATGTGTGTGCCTGGTGTCATCAGAGACCAGAAGAGGGTGTTGGATCCCCTGGAGCTGGAGTTATAGATGGTTCTAAGCCACCATGTGGGTGCCAGAAATTAAATGTGGGTCCTCTGGAAGATCAGCCAGTGCTTCCCCCGCTCCCCCCCCCCCCCCCCCAGACAGGGTTTCTTTGTGTAGCCTTGGCTGTCCTGGAATTCACTCTGTAAACCAGGCTGGCTTTGAACTCAGAGATCCGCCTGCCTCTGCCTTCCAAGTGCTGAGATTAAAGGCATGCGCCACCACTGCCTGGCCAGCCAGTGCTCTTCACCACTCAGCCATCTCTCCAGCCCTCACACCTTTTTCTTTGAGACAGAGATTTTTGCTATGTAGCCTAGGCTAGCCTCAACCTCCCGAGTGCTGTATTACAGACATGAGCCAACCCATCTTAGCTCTGGGTTGGAGGAGCTCTAGGAATTGAACTTAGGGTCTCATGTTTGCTAGGCAGGTGTCCTGTCACCAAACAGCGTCTCCAGCCCCGAGCCTCTGTTTGGCTTCTGTGTTAGTTACTTCTCTTGCTGTTGTGACCAAATACTTGGTGGAGGCAACTTAAGGGGGAAGGTTTATTTTGGTTTATGGCTCAGAGGATGTAATCCATCATGACAGGTAAGGCATGAAGTCTAAAGTGGCTTGGTCCGTGGTGGTGGGAACCTGTGGCAGCTACTTGCTACCTGCTACTAGGGCTGGAAGTGGAGCTGGCTTGGGACAATCCAAACAAAACAAGCCCTGCCCATATAACCCTATTTATGCCAGCTAGGCTCTGTGTTACAAAGATGCTACAGCCTCCCCAAAACTGTGCCACCACCTGGGGACCAAGTGTTCAAACACACAAACCTATGGTGCCCATCTCATAGTCGAACCATAGCCGTTGACTGTTGAATGGCTTACTTGATGAAGACTGTAAATCTATGTATGGCAGTGATTTAAAATTATGATTACTGGGGCTGGGGAGATGGCTTAGTGGTTAGGAATACTTCCTGCTCTTCCAGAGGTCCTGACAGAGTCCAATTCCCAGTACCCAAGTTGGGCAGCTCTTAACCCAAGCTTGTAGCTCCAACTCTAGGGGATCTGATGCTGTCTAATGGCCTCCGTGGGCACCTGCACAGCTCATTCTGTCTGTCTGTCCTCTCTCTCCCTCTCCCCTCTCATATTCTCTCTCTCTCTTTCCCCCATAATTAAAAATAAAGTATATTAAAATGATGATTGCAGGACTGACAAGGCATGGGTTTACATTTTAACTTCAAAAGAAAATTCTACAGTACAGTTTTTGAACTTCGGTCTGGGCTATATGTTCCCCCAGAAGACATACCCAGGGACAGCATGTTCTATAAATTTACTGGACACCTGCTTTATTGCTGCAGTAAAAAAAAGCGTTGATGATTCAGCCACGATAGTGCGAGCCTGCCTCTCATACAATTGCTTTCCTTGGGCTCACAATAGCTCTCGTGAGATAAGCACTATTATGCCTCCATATGTAAAGCTACCACTGCGCTACCCCTCCAGCCCCTTGCCTTCGTTTGGCGTATGGGTTAATTACTTTTCTTGTTGCTGTGACCAAATACTTGATGGAATGAATGCAGGTTGGGAGAGGCCATCAGAGAGCCTCTGCTTGGTAAACGGGGAGCTGGGGTTTAATCTGCCCTGTCTGGTTTCATCTCGGCCTTTCTTGCCCTTTCACTATCCGGAGGTATGGTTGTGGTGCCACAGGTAGTTTGAAGGGTTTAGAGTCTAGACTGTCTCAGTAATTGTGATTCTGTGGGACTGTGTGGTAGAGCATGTGTCTGGCATGCACGAGGTTTTGGGTTCAATCCCCAACATTGCAAAAAAAAAAAAAAAAAATAGAAAAATCAAAATGATATGGACCTGGTCTGGGCACGCCACTGTCCATGTTTGTCCCTCTCTCTTTACCTAACCCTTGTACCACATTTCCACCACAGCTTCTGTTACGGTGACCTCTCTTTTCCCCCCAGTATGAAGGTTTCATGTTTGCCGATGTTTGGCTACAAACACGTGCTGACGCTGACTGACCAGGTGACCCGCTTCAATGAGGAAGTGAAGAAACAGAGTGTGTCACGTAACCGAGATGCTCCAGAGGGCGGCTTTGACGCCATCATGCAGGCTACAGTCTGTGATGTGAGTTTGGAGGGCAAGGGGTGCCAGGTGTAGCTGGTATAAATTAAAATGGGGAAGGAAACAGTTAGGGTGGGGATTTCCGGTGTGATGGGAGATAGGAACCAAGCGGGACTTTGTACATAATGAGTAATAAATTGCTCCCGCTACACGATGCTCTCTCTGTATCCACACCAGGGCCACAGCTGACACCTCTTTGAACCACAGTCGTCCCAGATCTTTCCTGGGGAGAACATCATCCCACATTTTCTGGAATTATTTCAGAGTCAAGCCTGGGTTAACTTGACCTCAGCAAAGTGGGCAGATGTTAGGGTAGGATTTCTTCTAATCCAGGCCAGCTCTGGATTGCAGATGGGTTTCTGTCACTGGAGGAGTTACATGTGGAGTTGAAGAAGGCATTATTCAGTCTCAAGAACTAATCAACAATGGGATGATTTTCCTAAGGGAACAAAGCCTGAATTTCCAAAAAACCAAGCTCTAGTTTATGTTCCAAAGCTTGGGGCTGAGGCCCCTCTCCAATACAACTTGTCCAGCTCTTTAGGTGTGGAGGTTCTGGGGTCTTTGTTCAGTACTGATGACAGAGCTGAAGTTGCTGTGTCTTTTTTTTTTCTAACAGGAGAAAATTGGCTGGAGGAATGATGCTTCCCATTTGCTGGTGTTTACCACCGATGCCAAGACCCACATTGCACTGGACGGAAGGCTGGCAGGCATTGTCCAGCCCAATGATGGGCAGTGTCACATTGGCAGTGACAACCATTACTCTGCCTCCACTACCATGGTGAGATGCTTGGTCCGACTGGGGTTCTTGTTCATTCTGATAGGACTGTATTATTCCAGGCAAGGCTTTTGTGGGAATTTGAAAACAGCCCTTTACTGGGCGTTCTGTGGGGCTCAGTGAATGCCTGTTTCTGCCACCCCCCAATGGAGCATCCTCATCCAGGGTCTAAACAGTCTGACCATGGATGTCCATGCCTGTGCTGAGTGTTCACACTGACTCCACAGTCATCAGCATCAGTCACAGCATCTTGGCATCCAGAATGTGTGAAGTCACAGCTGGAGAGCTCACTTCCCTCCTTCCTCTGTGGACGGGGGTCCCTTCTTGCAATCAAGCTCATTCATGGTTACTGGGGAAAGACAGGGAAAAAAAAAAAAGGACAAAGGTTTCGTTGATGAAATGAGGAAAACCCAGAGGGCAGAGCCTCTTGAGGAAAGGTTAAAGGGCACAGAGTCATTTGGTTTGAAGGAAGAATGGTTCCTGGATCATTTAGGATGATAGGTAAGAAAACTTCTGAGGAGTTTTTTTTATGTGTTTTAATTAATAATAATCATAGACAGTTAATTAAATGAGAGGAAAGGAGCTTAAACTGAAATGGGAGAAATTACTGTCAGTCATAAGACAAATGGAGCAAGGTTTAAAACAATGACACTTTGGTGAGTGGTGTGGTAGGTGATCCGTAGAGCGAGGCCAGGACACTTGCCCATAGCTCTGTAGCCCTGGGTCTTAGCTCATGGGGCTGATTTGAATGTGAGTGGGAAGAAGGCGCTTGGCTTTGGAACGCCAGCCGCCCAGGGGTCGTGGCTCCCATTGCCCTGTCCCTCTACTCACACAGTGCCCTCTTTTCTTTCACTGACAATACAACAGCACAGACGGAGTAAGTCAGAAAAGAACTTCAGTTGTCTTCTTAGGCCTTGCGAGTTTGAGAGGCCACATCTGGTGATCATCTTGCGGGCAGAGTCCCAAGACTCAGGCCGGCATGAAGCAGAGGTCAGGGGTCATGTGCGTGGGTTTCTGTTTTCATTGTTTTCCTCTTAGAAAGCTAGCTCTGGGGCCTTTAATGGCCTCTAATCCTACTTACTTCCCAAAGACTCTACCCCTAAATACTGTAGGGGGCTTGTCTTCACCCGCTCAGCATCTCACAGTGAGAATTCAGTTTCAGTGCATGAAACCCAAGGGACACGCTGGAGCCACACCCAAACCACAACACCTCACTTTGATTAGTGGGTAAAAATCTTTAAGTGTCGCATTTCCCTGGGTCTACCCGCGACAGGACAAGTTCAAAGGCTTAGAATCCAGGGAAGCGTGAACCTTCACCTCTTCCCCCTTTTCCAGGATTACCCGTCTCTGGGGCTGATGACTGAGAAACTGTCCCAGAAAAACATTAACCTGATCTTTGCAGTCACTGAGGATGTCGCCAACCTCTACCAGGTAATTATGCCTCTGGGGCTCCTGTCCTGTCACCACAGAAGGACCTGTCCCAGGTGGCCAGCTCATGCTGTCACTAGCCAGGGACCCAAGCAGGAAAAATCCTTTTAAAACTCATTCTCCGGGTACTTAACATTCCTCCCAATAGCCTTTTTCCTCCAACCTCTAACCTACTAGGAAGCAGGTGTGGATCTTTCTGATGGGAGTGGGGAGATAATTCAGTGGGAGGAGGGGCATAAAAAGGTTTCTTTTCCTCAGCTATGAAAGTCTGCTAGATCTCTTCTGGTAGTGACAAATGAGATATCCTACAGTGTCCTCCAAACTTCATTTTAAGATTGCCATTCTGGTGGTGGTGGCGCACGCCTTTAATCCCAGCACTCGGGAGGCAGAGCCAGGCGGATCTCTGTGAGTTCGAGGCCAGCCTGGGCTACCAAGTGAGTTCCAGGAAAGGCGCAAAGCTACACAGAGAAACCCTGTCTCGAAAAACCAAAAAAAAAAAAAAAAAAAAGATTGCCATTCTGGCGGTGGTGGCGCACGCCTTTAATCCCAGCACTCGGGAGGCAGAGCCAGGCGGATCTCTGAGTTCGAGGCCAGCCTGGTCTACAGAGCGAGTTCCAGGATAGTCAGGGCTACACAAAGAAACCCTGTCTTGATACCACCTCCCCCCACCCCCCCCACCCCCTGCCAAAAAAAAAAAAAAAAAAAAAGAGAGACTGCCAGTCTGACTAGGGGGACTTTGAGGAGACTACTTTCCTTCGGTAAGCTGTGGACATCTTTGTCTTCCTTTCTAGAATTATAGTGAGCTCATTCCTGGGACCACAGTGGGAATCCTGTCTGATGACTCGAGCAATGTCCTCCAGCTCATTGTTGATGCTTACGGGGTAAGAATGTTAGCCCAGGAGGGCCTGTTGAATCTGCTGGATGTGCCTTACCCAGCAGAGCTGGTTAAAAGGAAGTAAAGGAGGGATGCAGTGGCCAGTCTACAGTGGAAACCTGACACATAAATTCCTTCAGGAATGGAATCTCTTAAGATGAGTGGGCCTCAAGGCCGTGCTTGGGCCTGCAGACGGAAGGGGGAACATTAGGTGGGCACAAAACAATATGGCGGTCTAAACATAATAGGGCCGTAAAGGGGATGAGAGGCTTCCCTTTAAAGCCTGAAGAGGAGCTTCATGGAGAGCGAGGGTGACAGGGGTCCGAGGGAGAGAAAGAGAGAACTTTCATGAGAGTGAAGGTGGGGGAGCCTCTTCAAAAGCAGCCTTTCTCCCCAGACCAATTCCCAGAACAAAGGAAAGGTCTGGCTTTTTGTACGCTTTTAGGAGTGGCGGGAAGTTTCATATCATGTGATTTGGTTGAACGTGGCACGTAGAGAAGCCAGGTATTATACACTGAGTTGTCAAGTCACAGTAGAAACTGCTTTGGAACTTTCTGTCCCAAAGAGAGCCAAAGTGTGTGGCCTGATTCGGGCTATGGGTTCATGCCTGAAGGTGCAGGCCCATGTCCTAACGGAGCTCAGATGTGGGAGCCCTGGCTGCCATTCCCCCACGTGGCCTTCCCGATCTCCTCTTGTGTTCCTAGAGATAGAGGATGGCCGGCCCTGGGACTGATGGCATCTTCTGGAAAGGAAATGGGCCAGAAAGGAAGGCCGAGGAGGAACAGGGACAGGGAGTGGGGAGCTTGGAGGTGGAGGGGACGGCAGATGTGGGCTAGATGGACAAGGAGCAGCTGTAGGGCACAGTGAGGGAGAGCCAGGTCCTAACAACACATGAAAGAGATGACTGAGTGCAGAGACTGTGAGGCAGCAACTGGCAGAGACACCTCAGCGTCAGGCGCTGCCAGGACAAGTCCAAGGCCACTGCGTTGGCTATGTGTGGGATGGACTTGGCCTTTGTCTGTGTCCTTACTTTCTTTTGTCCTTTTCTCCTCAGAAAATCCGCTCTAAAGTGGAGCTGGAAGTGCGTGACCTCCCTGAAGAGCTGTCACTGTCCTTCAACGCCACCTGTCTTAACAACGAGGTCATCCCGGGCCTCAAGTCTTGTGTGGGACTCAAGATTGGAGACACGGTGAGGTGGGCTAGGCAGGGACTCATATTGAAGCTGTGACCCTGGTCTCCAGAGTCTCTGTGTACCCCGGCCCTTTCCAGAATTAGAAGTTAAAGTACTAGAGCTCTTAATCTTTCCTCTTGAAGCTTCTGCTGCCTAAGGTTTCTGTATCCGCCAAGTTAACCTCTCTATCAGTTTCTGAGAACATTCATCTCGGTTCCCTGTGTTTGCACCTGTACATCTGATTGCAAATGAAATGATTTCTTATCTACTCACTCAGAGTAATGCCTTTTTTTTTCTCTGCAATGTAAAATGGCAGTCTATCATCTGTAGACTTTTGCTGAGCACTGACTGTGTGCCAGACTTTATTCTAGCTGATGAAAATCCAATAGCAAGCAGAACAGGCAAAAAATACCTGGCCCTCTTGAGACTTAAGAGTGCAAATGTTCATCTTGCCCCTCCATTCCCTCCATGGTTTTCTTAATTAGTATTGTTTTAAAATTTTATGTGTATGGTTATTTTGCCTGTGTGTATATTTGTGTATCATGTGGGTCCCTGGTGCCTGTGGAGGTCAGAGAGTGTCAGATTCCTTGGCACTGGAGTTTGAGATGGTTGTGATTTGAACCCAGGTCCTCTGGAAGAGCAGCCAGTGTTCTTAACTGCTGAGCCATCTCTCCAGCTCCCCTGGTTTTCTTTGTTTGTTGACCCTCCTTTGCTCTACCTAAGGGACTGGTGGATGGGAGAGAGGAATGAAGAGAAAGAGATCTTTTGGTCCATTGCCCTGTAAATTTATTTTTTTCTTAATTTTTTTTTTGAGACAGGGTTTCTCTGGTTAGCTTTGGTGCCTGTCCTGGATCTCACTCTGTAGACCAGGCTAGCCTCAAACTCACAGAGATCCGCCTGCCTCTGCCTCCCAAGTGCTGGGATTAAAGGCATTCGCCACTACTGCCCAGCCTGTAAATTTATTTTCTAAGCATATGTGTTCACAGCCCCACGTCACACCCTGCAATGAAACTTTATACTGTAATCCCTTAGTGTGTGATTGACCACTCTGTGACATGGTGTGGTGTGAAGCAGCATTTTGTGTGTCTTGCTGTTAATATGGAATAATAATGCTCCAGCTGACATAACCGTAATCACAGACTCTGTCCTGCTTGACCTGGTCAGTTTCTCAGGAGAAAAACAGCCCTCTATTGCTTATCTGTGACCATCTGTCCAGTCAGATACGTCACAGCGCTAACTACACTATGTCACTGTAGTTTTTACTCTGTAGACTCTGAGAGAATTAACGCCAAGGAACTCCCCAGGGCGGGTGGGTTTGACACCCAGTTTTGTTTCCCTCGGTAGGGTGCAGCCCAGCATTTCTCTAGGGCTGGTGTCCCCCAGATCCACTTAGGTCTGACTGCCATCTTCCCATCCAGGTGAGCTTTAGCATCGAGGCCAAGGTCCGCGGCTGCCCCCGGGAGAAGGAGCAGTCTTTCACTATCAAGCCCGTGGGCTTTAAGGATAGCCTCACCGTCCAGGTCACCTTTGACTGTGACTGTGCCTGCCAGGCCTCCGCCCAGCCTCTCAGCCCACGCTGCAACAATGGCAATGGGACCTTTGAGTGTGGAGTGTGCCGCTGTAACCAGGGCTGGCTGGGATCCATGTGTGAGTGCTCCGAGGAGGACTACCGGCCCTCTCAGCAGGAAGAGTGCAGCTCCAAGGAGGGCCAGCCCATCTGCAGCCAGCGGGGCGAGTGTCTCTGCGGCCAGTGTGTCTGTCACAGTAGTGACTTCGGCAAGATCACTGGCAAGTTCTGCGAGTGTGATGACTTCTCCTGTGTCCGCTACAAAGGGGAGATGTGCTCTGGTGAGTAGAAGTGTCCCGGCACGCTCAGTAGCCGTGCATGCGTATTTCCCCAGATGCCTCAGGAAACATGTGGAGGCTTGAGGTTGGCGAGGTGGGCAGAACTGAGAACCCATTTCACTCCGAGTAGAAATGAGCAGAAGCCGGAACCAGAACTTTCCCCTTGTTCGTGGCGCCCAGGGAAGCTAAGATGTGGGGAGACAGGAAACATTAAGGGGAGGGAGTTTGTTTTGGTTTTCTTTCTTCTGCTCACTCTGATGATGTTTCAAATTCCTAGTCCTTTTGAATATAAGGACCAACTTATTTTTCATCTAAAAAAAATCAGTCTCAGGGTAATTAGTATTTACAGATGGAAAATATATGATGTTGGATATACTATAAAGTTCAGAATGATTTTACTTGAATTTATCATTCTACCACCAGTAGAAAGTAGTGGTATATATGCAAGACGCTGTGGCGCTTAGACCGGTATTAGGGAAATGGTATATTTGTGTTAAATGTTATCCCTGTTTATCATCTGTTTGTTGCTATTGGTGTTTGTATTCTAGGCCTCTACTGTCCAAAATGGTATCCACTAGCCACATGTAGCTATTTAAACTAATTGAGATAGAAAACATAAATTCAGTTTTTCAGTTGGTCAGTAGCCACATGTGGCCAGTAGCTATCGTACTGTACCATGGGGATACTGAACATTTTGACATAGCAGAAAGTTTCACTGGATAGTGTTGGCATAGAGACTTTCTACCAGCAGATTAAAATTTCATGTGTGCGCAAGCACAAGCATTGCATGCGTGTGTGTGTGTGTGTGTGTGTGTGTGTGTGTGTGTGTGTGTGTGTGTGTATAGGTACAGAGACCGGAAGTGGGTATTATGTGCCTTCCCCAGTCACTTTCCATGTCACTTTTTGAGATGAGATCTCTCGTTGACCCTGGAGCTGACCAGTTGGCTGTCCGGGCAGTGAGCTCCAGGGATCCAGCTGTTTTTGCTTCCCCAGTGCTGGGATTACACACGTGCAGACGTGGACGTGCCACTGAGCCTAGCTTTATTTTTTAAAACATGAGTGCTGGAGATCTGAACTCAGATCTCACGTTTGCAAGGCAAGCTCTCTCTCCAGCCTGGGGACTATAATTTTGAGCCTGAAGGATCTGAGTAGTCCTTATTGCAAACTTCAACGCACCCCCCGAGGCCTATTGATAACTTCAGACTGACCCCAAAGACCCAGATGCTTTCCCTACCAAGAGAAGCCAAATCATTGTTAATACGGTCTTCATCCGAGTACTCTCAGGGCAGATGGACAGTCTGAGCCTTGCTCTTAGGCTCTGGAGGTAGGCTTATGTTGGACTGTAGTCACTGTTGTCATCCTGTTTGGGACAGACAGGCTGCAGACATTTGCAAGTTGGTTGGAGCTGGGTTATGGGTATTCTGTGTGATCAGCTGAACAGAGAGGTTATAATTGTTCTCTGTGATAATCTAAGCCCCGGATGGGCTTCATTTGCATTGGGTTTTAGCCGGCCGAGCTGAGTGACTCAGGTGTTCACTTTAACGTGGTGGCACAAGCCTACAATCCCAGCTATTGTAGGCTATAATCAGGAAGTCAGGGTCATCCTCAGCTACATAGCAAGTTTGAGGTTAGCCAACATTCAACCGCCACCACCACCGCCATCACCACAGAAGAGCTCAATAAGAAAGATAGATATGTCATGTAAAAACAGGCCCCAAAGGGCTGGAGAAACGGCTCAGTGGTTAAGAGTGTGGACTATTCTTGTACATGACCTCAGTTCAGTTTCCAGGTAGTTCACACCTGCAACTCCAGCCCCAGAGGAGCTGATGCGTCTGACCTCCAATGGCACCTGCATCTGAAATACACATGGCCACCATACACATAATGAAAAAATCTTATAAAAACACAGGACATATGACCGCAAACACAAAAAAAGATACCTTTTCTGATCTGTGCCATTGTTGACTTCAGTTATGCCAAGTTTTGAGAAAGGGCTTGGGGGAGCGTGGTATCACTATTAGCTAAAGTAGTGGAGAGAGATCAGGGCCCCAATGATGAGAACAGGCACACATGAGCAGTTTGAACTAGGGTGAGGCAGGGGTTTCAGGTCATTTGAATATTTAATAGTGTTTCTGTCATGTTCATATTACCAAAGATGCACCCAAAGGAGCAAGCTGGGAATGCTGGGTGGGTTGCCCTTGGAAAGGCCTACAGAAGGGCCTCTGGGCCCCTTCACTCCTCCAGGGCTGATTGGTTCTGGTCTAGCGTGAGGTCTGCGGGAAGGATCCCAGCCAGAGTGTGTTGTTTTTGGCTGCTAACCCCACAGAGCCTCAGCAATTCCCACCCCCTAAGGTGTAGAAATACCTGGTCCTATGGGTTCCGTTCTAACCCGCCCAGGGGACTCATTTGGCTGTGGCACCCATTTTACTGCTTCTTACCAGGGTATCTGGTGCCCATCCAGCTTCATGTCTTGCTCTTGTGACACTGTTACCACATCCTTAGAGGCCCGTGGTCGTGGAGCACTTGGCATTGTGCTGACATTTGGTTCATATGGGTGAATGAGGGGTTGTGCGCGATTCCTGACCTCTCAGAGCTATGGCCAGCCCATAAGTATCCCTCTCCTCTGACGCCTGCCTTGTGGGGATCACGGGGCAGGAGTGCTGTGACTCTGTGAGCCTGAGAGCTCTGAGCATTGCAGGTGGCTCCCGGTCTGCTCCTCCCTACTTGCTCACACCTCTAACCTGCTCCCCTTCTACTTCAGACAGCAGGGAGACAGGAAATGAGTCCTTCTCCTCAGGTTCTTTCCCACCTGCTACACACAGATAGGCTTCATCTGCGGGCTAGGCCCTGTCCTGTAACCACATGGAAGGAACAGGTGTCAACAGACAATTTTACTGTTTAGTGATATACCAAAGTGTCTTTTGCATTAGGAGTCACAACCTGCTAGAAACCGGAAATGAGATGTCTGCCGAGAGTCCCCAGAGAGAGACTCATGGGTAGGGGAATCCTGGGCAGTTTCATGGAGGTGGTCTTGTCTGCTGGAGCTCCAAGGAAGACTGGTTCACACAGGAAAGGAGTGAAGTCATGAGTCATGGAAGTCTGGCTTTGCGGGGAGAGTAATCACATACCCTCTGACCGAAACCCTCCTCCTCCTCCTCCACTCTCTTTTCTTGCTCCCTCCCCTGGCTTTCCTGTGAACCCAGCCCAGCCCCCCTTTGGCTGAAGAGATGCCAACGCTGTGACATTACTTACTACACTGTGGTTTCCTTTTAAGGGCTGACTCTGCCACAGCTTGGGGTCAGCCTGCTGGCTCCGGCTACCCACTTCCATTCCCAACATCACTCTCGGGCTGGCCCGGCAGATCATCTTGTCAAAGATCACTTTGTTTTGCCTCACAAAGGAAACACTGTGGGACAAGGGTTCTGCGGAGGCCGGGCCTCTTATGAGTGCTGCCAGGCCTCTGTGGCCTCCTTCTTTCCCCATCCAGGAACCCTGGTTAAAAGCAAAGGCTAGTGGACACCATGGGGTTCATTCTGCTGTCTGGCATACCCACCCCCAGCTGCTGTCCGGAGAGTTGACTGATTATAGCTCACAGTTGCCTTTCTTTGGAGCTGACAGGAATAGCCTTGCCTTCAGACTTCACCAATGACTGGTGAAGAAAGGTTTCTACAAGGGCATTTCCTTTTCCTCAAAGTAGGTCTAGCTCTGTGGTGCCCTTCATACTTCCAAACTCTCCATGGATTCAGGCTGAAGGGAGTTTCTAACTTAGACCACATACCTGCTGTGTGTGTGTGTGTGTGTGTGTGTGTGTGTGTGTGTGTGTGTGTGTGCAAGCATGTACAAGCATGCCTGTATGGAAGTCAGATGATCACCCTGAGTGCCATTCCTCAGGAACTGTCTACCTTGCTTACTGAGACAGGGTCTCCCACTGGGACCTGGAGTGTGTGGGACCTGGAGTGTGTGAGTAAGTGAGCCCTGGGCCTCTTCCCATCTCTGCCTTCCTGTGTTGGGTTTACACGTATGTGCCGGCACATCTGGCTTTTTACATGGGTGCTGGGGATACAGCTCAGATCCTCTGGCCTCTGTGGCAAGCCCTTTACTATTTCCCAAGCCTAGCTGGTGTTGACCATTCTTCTCTTCCTCCCTCCCTTTTCCCCAGTAAAGAAGATCCTAACCATAACCATGCTTCTAAAGAACCCAGCCTCAAGACTTAAAGTCGTTCTGGTTCCAAGCTTTCCTGCCAGAAACCCCCCACCCCCCAACTCTAGATATCCCTGAACATCTTGCTTCTGGTCCAATCTTCTGTTCTTAATTAAAAATGTTTATTTATTTATTTAGGATTTTCAAGGCATGGTTTCTTTGTGTAGCCCTGGCTGTCCTGGAACTAGCTCTGTAGAACAGGCTGGCCTCAAACTCACAGAGACCCACTTGCCTCTGCCCCCGAGTGCTGGGATTAAAGACATGTGCCACTACCACCCAGCTATTTTTTTTAAAATGATATATTTATTTTTATTTTATGTGCATTGGTGTTTTGCCTGCATGTATGCCTGTGTGAGGTTGTCAAATCAATTGGAGGTGGAGTTACAGACACTTGTGAGCTGCCATGTCAATGCTGGGAATTGAACCTGGGTCCTCTGGAAGAGCAGCCAGTTTTCTTAACTGCTGAGCCGTCTCTAGCGTCAGTTTTTAAAAATATGTATGGGTGCTCTGCCTGCATGTATGTCTGTATACCTTGTGCATGCTGTGCCTGTGGAGGCCAGAAGAGGGCATTGCATCCGCTAGCATTGGAGTTACAGACAGTTGTTAGCCACCCTGTGGGTGCTAGGACTCCAACTCTGGTCTACTGGAAGAGCAACCAGTGCTCTTGACTGCTGAGCCATCTCTCCAGCCCCAGTGTATAGCCTAGGCTGGCCTTGACCTTGTGATCTTTCTGCCTCTGTCTCTTTAGCATAACCTACAGGCCAACCACAACTGGCCCATCTGTTCTAAGAAACATATATTTCTTTCAAGGCAGTGATGTTGCTGAGTCTTAATTACACATTTGAGTCTTGAATGATGATGTGTTTATGAGAGGACGGTGCCGGGGCCATGAGCAGAGGGATCCATAGGGCCAAAGTCAGTGGCCCAATGACAGCCTTGGTGTGACCTAGTTACTGTCAGAGTCCGGCCCTGTGCCACCCTCCTCACCTTCTTGGAGCTACTGATGTGGTTTCCAGACCAATATTTGTTCCTTGTCTTTCCTCTGATTAACAGTCACATTTTTAGTATCCGTCCAGTTCTTCCTGATGCAAAGCTCTAGAGAATGAGACACTTCTTGTAGGGTTAATTGCCAGCTTTTAAACTCCTGTTAAGTGAATACTAGGGGGATATCACATTGGGAGTTAAAGCTTGCCTTTCAGCAGCCTGATGCCCCACTCCAAGCTCCCTCCCAGCCTACACTCAGGGAAGCGAAGGGATCCTCTACACCAAGGCTGATGGCTCTTTACAACACTGTAATACTACAACACAGGGCACAATTGATGTATGCATGTATTTTCCATGCATTTGATGAGATTGTAAGATTCCTTGTAGGACAGTCTTGTCTGCCATGCTCCCCACTGAATCTTCAGTACCCAGCATGTGGTACAAGTTCAGTCAGTATCTGTTGAGTAAATGGATGAATGAACAAATATTAACTGTCTGCCTACTCTATAAAAGATTTCATGGTGGTTTCTATTCATGATAAAACTAAGTGACATGGTATCTCCTACTAAGAAGCTCATACTTTGGAAAGAGAAACTGATAAGCAAGCAAATGGCCATAGAATAAAGGTGGATGTATCAGCAGCCATAATGTGTTGGGGGACCACATGAGAAGTCAGTTGACTCAACCTGAAGAGGTCAGAAAAAGTTAATGGGAGGAAGGAGCACTTGAGTTGGGCCTGAAGGGTGAATAGGGATTTGAAAAGTCACAGAGGTAAAGGTAAAAAGAACAATATGAACAGAAACAGGAGACCACAGAAACAGTGTAGAATAAGGGGATAAATTCAGAGTGTTGGCTAATATATGTGGTCACTCAAGGCTGAGCCCTGACTCTGCTGTTTATAAGCTGTGGCCCAGGACAAGTTACATAACCTTTCTGACATTATGGGATTGTGGTAAAAATGAATAGGGTAGCTCGCTACAGAATATGACACGTACTTGGCACTTATTGAATGCTCAGCAAATGTCCATGGACATTATTGTCATTGCTATGAGTACTGGTGGCACAACTTCCATTGGGGATAGTCATTTCCTTGGTTTTTGAAAGTAATATAATTCTCTAAATGCTTTCCAAAGCTGCCTTACTGTGCTCTCAGCTGCATAGGGCACTCTTTCTCAAACTTTTTAATGCTGTGACCCTTTAATACAGTTCCTCATGTTGTGGTGACCCCCAACCATGAAATTATTTCATTGCTACTTCATAACTGTCACTTTACTACTGTTACGAATCATAATGTAAATATCTGATATGCAGGATATTTGATATGTGACCCCCAAAGGGTTGAGAACCAGTGACATGGGGCAACAGGATGTATTAATTTTTTCTAATGCTGTTATAAAATACCTGATAGAAGTGAAGGGGAAAAGAGTTATTTGGCTAATGGCTCTAGAGGGTTCAGTCTATGTTTGCTTGGTCCCAAATGCTTAGGTAGGACAGCATAACAGTAGGAACTCTCACTTCATGAGAGAGCTGCTCACTTCGTGGCCAACCTGGAAGCAGAGAGAGCAAGTGTAAGTAGACATTTCTCTCCTGCCTGCCTATTCCCAAATAAATACACAGAGGCTTATATGAATTATAAGTACTTGGCTAATAGCTCAGGCTTATTACTAACTAGTTCTTACATTTTAAGCTAACCATATTCCTTATTTATGCTCAGCCACGTGGTGGTACCTTTATTAGCATGGCACGTTCATCTCCTGCTCCCTCTGTGTCTGGCTGGTGACTCCTCTGACTCTGCCCTTCTCTTTCCCGTCATCCTTAGTTTGGTCACCCCACCTATACTTTCTGACTGGCTACTGACCAATCAGAGTTTTATTAAACCAATTCAAGTGACAAATCTTTACAGTATATAAGAAGATTATTCCACAGCAAGCAAGCCAGGAATTGATATCTGATATACCCTTGCAAGGACCGACTCCCAGTGACCTATTTCTTCTAGCAAGGCCCCACCTCTCACATTTCTAGAATCTCTCAAACATTACCAACTAGATCAAAATGCAAGCATATGGGAGACATATGAGAAAAAGACAGGTTGTTTTAGTAGGTTGGATGCTGTTGAACCATGCCTACAACTTCAGAAATTAATCATGGTAAATGTTTTTGCAGCTTTGGGGTGGAGAGGCCGAGATAACAATTGATCAGCGGAAGTTTGGTGGAGGCCTCTGGGCTATGTGAGGTCATCACTAACCAGTTTATGGCTATTTACCTTTGGAAAATCTCTCTCCTCTTTTCATCCAGCTTTTCTTGTTTTCTGCTGCCTTCTCTTGATGGCACTCATGGGATTTATTTAGCAATACTGACCCTCAGCAGGCTATAAGGTAGGCTATCTTTGTTCTCTGTGCTTTCTTGGCTCTGTTAGCTGACTATAGGCTCCCAGTGCCTTCTGTCTGGCCCTTGGGTACCCTATCCCATCTACCTGCATACCCAGGGCATGCTCTGTGCCTTCCCTTTGTAGCATTGGCACAAGGCTGTACCAGGATTTCTCCACACCTCCACGCTCATCACAGTGCACTTTCCTGTCTCACAAGTTCTCCCCAGAGCCTTGCTTCTCACCTTGGAGGATGACAATTAGCTGGTCTGAGAAACACGGCCATGGAGCTTGTTGGCTGGCCCATTATTTTGGTGGGAGGGGCTAGCTTGTTCAAATCAGAACCTGTGTTGGGGTCTGACTTAGCAGGGAGAAGGCAATGGTAATGATGGGTGGCCTTTCAAGTCACATTGGAGAGGGAGCAGTGTTGTCAGGTCAAAGGAGACATGTGTAGGGGCTGGAGGAGCCTTTTACCATCACCAGGCTACTCTGGCAAAGTTCCTGAATGCCCTACGTGGGCACAGGCTATGGACTCTTGCTGGGCCAGCCCTTGGGGTTAAAGAGCTGGCTCTAGTCCTCAGACTGACGCTGGCAGAGAAGGAAGAGGGATTCAGAACTGGACAGGAAAAAAAGCAGGCAGTCTGGGAGACACAGATCTAGATATTCCTTTGCTTTCTAGGTCCTTCTCCTTGGGATGTCTAAATTGTTGTCTGTCTTTACTGGGTAAAGCTCTCCTGGCAGTGAGCCAGTTCCTCCACTTACCTGCAGGATCATTGTTAGTATGGTTGGGAGAACAGGATGATAGTAGCCTGGTGTCATGGGATTGGCTTCTCACCAGCTGGTCTGCTGTCCTGCGCTCTGTTTGTAGGCCACGGCCAGTGCAACTGTGGGGACTGCGTGTGTGACTCAGACTGGACTGGCTTCTACTGCAACTGCACGACCCGCACCGACACCTGCATGTCCAGCAACGGGCTGCTGTGCAGCGGCCGGGGCAACTGTGAGTGTGGCAGCTGCGTCTGCGTCCAGCCAGGCTCCTATGGAGACACCTGTGAGAAGTGTCCCACTTGCCCAGACGCCTGCTCATTTAAGAAGTGAGTGAACAGTTTGGAGAGAGTTGGGAGGCCGGAAGAAGGAAGAGGGCCCTTGTACTAGAACTCCCAACTCTCGAGGATCTGTCTTGGAGAACAATTTGCTCCGGCCAAATGACTACTTTCCTTTTTTCCATGAATGTCTTTCTTTGGGAAAGTTGGAGGTGGTACCAGCCATGCAGGGACCAAATAGTACCAATTGGAGCAGGCCCTCTTCCAGAGTGCAATCATGAATCCCTCTGCATTGGGAGGGGGATCACAGAACATTCCAATGCAATGTTCTGATTCCTATGGGAGGTGCAGGGGCTGAAGTCATGGTGGACTTCAGGTGAAATGGGCATTTTGTTGGTACAGACTTGCCCTGTTTGGAAGTCCAAGTCTGTGGCTCTGCCATGGCTAGGTTCACAGTTATGTATTTTGAGCTGTGGTAGAGCCCAGTGCTTAGAAGAAAGAGCCTCATGTTGGCCTTAGTGCTCTATTTTCACTGTCTTGAAATTCTTAGCTGTGTTTGAATAGAACTTTAATTTTTCAGTGGACTCTCAAATCACATGACCAGTTCTGACTTTAAACCTCCCAGAAGTGATAGGAGTCACTATGACTACCACCACCACCACCATCACCACCATTACCACCATCACCACCATCATCACCATCACGACCATCACCACCACCACCACCACCACCACCACCACCACCACCACCACCATCACCACCACCACCACCACCACCACCACCATCACTACCATTACCACCACCATTATCACCATCACCACTATCACCATCACAGCCCTTGAACTGTAATGAAGCCTATTTGAGCCTATAATCCCAGCAGTCAGGAGCTTGAGGCAAGGGGACCAAGTTCAAGACAATTAGGCTCTACAGTGAGACTGTCAGATCCAGGATTGGCTGGCCAGGTCCTGTCTGTGGGTAAGGAGGGCCTCATCCTAATCTCCATGGTCATTTCCAGCTATGTGGCATACTTAGGGCTCTTCCTCTACTTTAGTTCCTGTGTCCTTTCTCCTCCAGGGAGTGTGTGGAGTGTAAGAAGTTCAACCGGGGAACCCTACATGAAGAAAACACCTGCAGCCATTACTGCCGAGACGACATCGAGCCTGTGACAGAGCTGAGTAAGTCCAGCAGGTCTTAAGGGTCTCACACATCCAGGCTTTACATAGTTCCATTTCCATCTCAGAACCTGCCAACTTCCTTCTCTAAAGTGGAAGAGTAGTTCCCACCTCCAGAAACGCTGTGCAGGCCTGATGTGCAGTAGGCACAGGGTGAAGGCTGGCTTCCTGAGAATCTCCTTCATCCTTGAAAATGTGTTCAGCAGCTCACACTTTCTGCTTCCTGGAGTCCCAAACTCAGCAAGAGCCTATGTATAACTTGTAAAGGCTGTAGAAATCAGACAATTCTTAGTTTACCTTTAAAGGAGAGGAAGGTGATATACTAGATGTTATAGAAGCAGAAACCAAGGTGTGGATCTGTGACTGCCACCCCTAGCTTAGAAGGTGAGTAAGTAACAGGACCTGGTGGCATATACCAGTAACACTGTCACTCAGGATCCTGTTACACCGCAGGAAGCTGAAGCTGGTGGATCTTGACATTGAAGCCATCCTGGACTAAAATAGTGAGTTCCAGGCCAGCCTGAGCTACAGAACAAGTCCAGTTCTCCAAAAACTATTTTTAAAAAGTGTTAAGGCATTGGAGAGATGGCTCAGTGGTTTAGAGCACTGGCTTCTCTTGCAGAGAACCTGGGTTCAGTTACCAGCACCCACATGGTGGCTAGCAACCATCTGTAACTCCAGTTCTGGAGGATTCAATGCCCCCTTCTGACCTCCACGGACACTGCATATACATGGTGCACAAACATACATATGCAGGCAAAATACCCATATACATAAAATAAAACACAAAATCTATTTACAGTGTCACATAATCCCCAGGCTTTTGCTTCCAGCTTGTTGGTTTGGAGAGAAACCTTCAGTGATATGTATATGTAATCATGCCTTCTCTCCTAAAGCTCTTTTGACTTTCTAGAGCCCCCTGAACTAAGACAGAAGTATAAACAGGGGGAGCAAAATCCTTCCCTACAGTTATCCTGGCCTGTACTTCATGCTGTCTTTAAAGATGATCTTTGCTGCTTTCAGTATATATGATACATTATCCGAGTTGCCAGGGATTGGGTGGTGCCCAGGAGGTAGCAATCTTTGCACAGATAGCCATTGCCCATGCAGACAGGAAGGGCCTCTTCACGTGAGAGCTACCGGAAGACAGCTTCGGGCAGGGGAGTTGTAAGAGAACCAGGTCTGCAGTGAGCCGGGTGATTCCGGGTTGAGGAAGTGGTATTTCCTCCAGAGGAGACTAGACTTGCTGTGATCAGCTCAGGAGGAAAGGGTGTGTATCTGACCTCACTGAGTCTACTTTTCTTCTTGTAGGAATGAAAAACAATGGCTCCCACCTTACAGGGAGAGCTAAGTGACATGAAACAGGCAGTTGCTAACGTATCGTCGGTGTCTGCTTCCCTTTTTCCTGTCTGGGCTTGCCCACTGGTTATCAATGGTTTTCTAAGGCAGCCCTTGTCAGTTTTGCCCGTTTGCATCCATCGGTATACGGCAAAGCACACCTGGTGGAGAGTAACCCACAGTGTTACTCTAGCAGGGTTCAGAGTGAGAAGGGCTGAAACCTACAAAGCATGATGGGAGTCCGAGAGGAGGGGGGTGGCTGTGGAGAGGCGTGCCAGATCGGAAACAGAAGCGAAAGGACTGGAAGGATTGTATCAATGGACTGAGAAGCAACAGGGAAGCAGGGGAAGGAAGAGAGGGAAAGGGAAGCCTGCTGTGTGTGAGCAACTGTTTGAAGCCATTCAGTTCTCACGCAAGGCGGGGGACATCGGTTTCCTTTCACCGATGAAGATGATGAGGGCAGATCACAGCCAGCGTCACAGCTGGTGGGTGGTAGAGACGGGCTTTGGATCAGAACGGACTGACTGCACTGTTACAGCGTGCCCCATTTAGAGGGAGGAGAACCAAAAAGGGCCCTCGAGAAACAACATTCATCACCGAGGGCCACTCAGTGCCAATTGCCAGGCGTGATCTCCAACCTGGGCATCTTGCTTAAACGTCAGGCAGTTTCCTGTCGCACACTTGGCGGATGTCCTATGACCTGGGTTTGGGAAAAGCTCTTATCTTGTGGGATTTTGATCTGTTTCTCATTCTCCGTCTTCTCTCTTCCCTGTGTCAGTGGATACCGGCAAAAATGCAGTGAATTGTACCTACAAGAATGAGGACGACTGTGTGGTCAGATTCCAGTACTATGAAGACACCAGTGGAAGGGCCATCCTGTACGTGGTGGAAGAGCCAGGTAAGTGAGCCCCGAGGCCCTGGCCCTGGCCCTGGCCCTAGGGAGAAAGAGACTACCTTGTTGGGCAGGAATTTCTAGTTGTAACCTTTTCAAACAGAACAGGCCAAAGAGGCAAGGGGGTATCTCACTAAGTACTAGCAAGAAAGTGGCTCACTGGGGCTGGAGAGATGGCTTGAATGGTTAAGAGCACTTGATGCTCCCACAGAGGACCTGAGCTTGGTTCCCAGTACCAAGATCAGGTTGCTCACAACCACAGGTAACTCCAGCTGTAGGAGATCTGACACCCTTCGGCTGGCCTCTGCAGTCCACTGCCCTCAGACACATACTCTGACATAGACTCAAACACATACACATATAATTAGAAATAAAAATAAAAACTTTGAAAAAAATTTGGAGACAGGGTTTCTCTGTGTAGTTCTGGCCATCCTGGAACTTGTTCTGTAGACCAGGCTGGCCTCGAACTCAGACATCGGCTTGCCTCTGCCTCCCTGCTGGGATTAAAGGTGTGTGCCACTACCACCTGACTAAAAAGAAATCTTAAAATAAAAGTGACTTGTTAATTGAGGAGACAGAAAATTAAGGAGAGGAGGAAGGTGAATATGACTATCTCTAAGAGTAACATACAGCCTGGGTCTCTTCAGGTGTTGTTGCCAAGGAGTAAGGGATTTAAGTTCTAGGACCTTACAGTACAGATGTATGTTCTGCTGTGGGATGGCTGTTGGCCATGAGTAACCTTCCCATCAGTGCAGTGGAAGGCCTAACATTGTGGCAAGATGTAGTGGTGGGTTTGGCGGACTGACTCAAGGCTGTCTTCCTGAACATTCAAGAGTGTTTGTTCTCGTGGGCCTGAGATGATTCAGCAGGTAAAGGTTCTTGCTACCATGCCTGAGGACCTCAGTTCAATCCTTAGGCCCCACATGGTGGAAGAAGAGAACCCACTCACACAGGCTTTACTCTGACCTCCATATGCTGTGGCATGTGTGTGCATACACACACACTCACATTCAAATAAATGGCTGTTCAAAAAAGACTACAAAAATAGGGGTTTGCCTTCAAGTCCTGGAAGCGAGAGGCGTATGTCCTGCTGCACACAGACCAACCATCCAACACTGTAAATTAGCTTTACTCTTTCTATCGGTGATGGGAAGTGAATCCAGGAGCTTGCACATGCTAAGCATACATTCTATCCCTGAGCTACAACCCAAGCCCAGGCTTCCTTATTTTTTTTAAATATCAGTATGCCATTGTGGGAACCAATTGGAGTTCCATAAGAACTAAATTAAATAAGCTCTAATACATACACTTTTTTTTGAGAGAGAATCTCATATAGCCTAGGCTAAACTTACTTTGTTATGAGGATGACCTTGAACTTCTGATCTTCCTGCCTCCACTTGAGTGCTGGAGTTTGGCATGAACCATCAAATCTAGTTTTTATGTGGTGCTGGGGTTCAAAATTTTACTTACAAAATTTTGGTTACGTTTGGAAGGAAGGGGATGAAGGTGGGACCGTGGAGGCAGGAAAATCCATAGGAGCTACTTGAGTACCTAGGATACTGTTATCTCGGGTGAGGAGAGTGTGATGCTCTCATGTGGGATAGTTTCTCAGCCCTTCCTAGGCCTCTCATGCTTTATATACAGACTAAGAAATAGAAAGGGCATCATGTTCATCTTACTTAGGGTCCAGGGAAAGCTGTTGTAGGAGGGACAAAGGGAGCCTGCAGATGTGTGAAGGAGCACATCTGTTATGGTTTGACCACAGCTTCTACACACTGCGTAGATTTTCCCCATCCCTGCCCCAGCAATACCTCCATCCCTTTGTGTTTCAGGCAGGCATTCGGTCTTTGCTTTTGGCTCTGCTACTAGTTTGTCTCTTTGTCACATGGTCTTTGTTGGTGTTCCTGTTGAATACTTCACCCAAATCATTTGACTTGGGATTTTGAGACTGGAATCTACTATAGTTATGGGGAGCAAAGACGATGATCGTCTGGGATGGTCGAACCACCCTGGGGGATCACTTCTCACGTTCTTCACCACTACATCCATTTCTTCACATTGGGAAATGGGAGCCCCAGGTCTAGTGACCTACAATGCCCGTTGACTTTGTGGTGCTGGAAGCAGAACGTAGGGCCTTGTGCAAGTGTTGTATGTCCAAGTCATACCCTCAACCAGGGGCCCACATTTCCTATTGCCCTGGCTCTGTCTCTCCTTTGACCCAACTCTCTACTATTTCCAGACATTCTAGCTTGGAACAGCATGGGCAGCTGGGTCCTGAAGCTTAGAAAGCGATTATTCTCTTTCTCTTCACAACCTCATGACCTTGCAGATGTTTTCTTTGAATGGGTGAGTCACTGCAGGGCAATCAAGAATATTTCCAAATGGATTCAGCCACATGGAACAGGCCTCTGAACTGGGCTCTCTTCACTCATGGATAGGGTGCCAGAAAAAAACACAGTGTGTTCCATGCAGTATTTAGTACACACACACTAAAATAGTAACTTGTTTATTGGAAGTCAGATCGACCTAGACTTCCTATGCTTTTGTTTACTAAATCTGCCAACCCTTCCAAGGCTTGTGTGGACCACTGTGGATCCACTGCTGTGGTTGCGAGGGACCTCCAGAGGCACCTGGAATTATCTCTTGCCTTCCACCCCTAGTGATGACGGGCTGTTATTCTCTAGGATTCTACCTGTGTTGCCCAGACCACCATGCAAAATTTTCACTTTGAGGTTTGAGGGTCAGCCCTATACCTCAGACTTTCAAAGGATTCATAGTTGCTTTTCCCAGAAGAACTGGGGCCCTTTGCTCCTGGTCATTTGGACACTAGAACCACACAGGCTTTCTCCAGGAGCCCTTAATTATCGATAGGTTATAATTTGGTGGGTTGGGAAATGGCCAGAGTGGTTTGTGGTAGTGGTTGTTTTGGGGTAGTATGTGGTGAGCTAGGGTGTCTGTTTAGAGAAGGAGATAAGAGTGGAAAGTGGGCGTGACTTCCTCTCTAGACTCATCAACATCCATATATACAAACACCTGGTTTCATCACACTGGAAGTTGCCGGTATGAGATCACTTGTTGGACACCTGAGGCTTATGGGAAGCTGAGCTCTACAGAATATGATCAGCTGACCATGAAGGGGTGACATAGCTTGTCTGCTTTGGTTGTTGTCTGGGGTTGAACGAAGAAGTTGGCTTCCGATAGGGTTAAGATTTTAGATGACTAAATATTACCCTGGCTGGCAGGTATCCTGGTCTCTAAGGATGCTGAGAAGGCCACCGAGCATCTGGCTCTCAGAGATGTAAATATCTGAACCAGGGCAAGAGACTTGATTGCCAATGGGGCAGTAAGTGAAAAGGCCAGGCATAAGAACACCACCAGTGACAAGGGCATCGAGTGTTTGTGGAGGAGCTAACTTTGTGCTGGCACTGTTCTGAGCTCTTTAAATCTGTCTAGCTCAGTCATTGCTCGTCACAAGCTCTTGAATGGGTGTGAGTAGTTGTTCCATTTTAAAGATGGAGAAACAGGAAACAGACACCCAGAAAAGTTAGTTTATTGAAGGGCAGATAAGCAAAGTAAGCATTAAGCCAGTATTCAAACCCAGGCGGTCTTGGCTCCAGAATGCCCAGTGGCACAGACCCGAGGACAAGTCACTTTGCCTGTGCTTAGGGGAGAGAGGGAAAAGAGAGAGGGCTCTGGGAAGTAGAAAACAAATGTCCCGAATATAAAAGGGCCAGCTGCTCCCGCCTCTAGCCAGTGGCTGCTCTATAGGAAGGTATGTTCTAGTATGGACAAGGGTGTGTGTGTGTGTGTGTGTGTGTGTGTGTGTGTGTGTGTGTGTGTGTGTCTGTTTATCTGTCTGTCTGTCTGCCCCTGTGTTTGTAGTGCTAGGGATAGAGGCCAAGGCTTCGTGGAAAATAGCAAGATCTTTACCACCAAGCTTAGTCACTCACCAAATCAATTTTTTAAATTGTTTTTGAGATTTATGTGTATGAGTGACTTGCCTGCCTGTAGGTATATGCACCATATGCATGCCTGGATGCCAGGGGAGGTGAGAAGAGGGTGTCAGGTGGTCTGGAGTTATAGACAGTTCTGGGCCACCATATGGGTACTGGGAACTTAATGTGGGTTCTCTGAAATTTCATTAAGTGCTCTTAGCCTCTGAGCCATCTCTCCACTAAGTTTTAAATGTACACTTGGGTGAACTTGCACGGAATTGGTAAACTTCAGCCTGAGAACTCTGATTTAGACCACTCAGGGCCGATTATTGCCGTCCTAAAGACTGTCCCCCTTTAAAAAGTGATGAAATTACTGTTTTGATCGTCTTATTTCCAGTTCTCTGTTCATTTGTTAAGACCTCATTCCTAGACATGTCTGGTGACTCCTGCTCTCTTCCTCTGCCTCCCAGAGTGTCCCAAGGGTCCTGACATCCTGGTGGTCCTGATGTCAGTGATGGGAGCCATTCTGCTCATCGGTCTTGCTACTCTTCTCATCTGGAAGCTACTCATCACCATCCATGACCGGAAGGAATTTGCTAAGTTCGAGGAAGAACGAGCCAGAGCCAAGTGGGACACAGTAAGAGGCTGTGCTGTGCTTCGTGTTCTCTTAAGTCTTTGGTTCAAGAACCCGAGGCAGCAGATGCTCACTGTGGTCAGAGTCAGCCCCGACAGTTGTTCCCTAGTTATCCTCTGTTCTAGATGCTGGGAGATGGTTCGACTGTCCTTTTGTCCTTATACTTCATGAAAACCACCTAAAATCCTCTGCCTCACAGTGACCACATGTCATGATCCCTGTGTGCGCACACATAGGATATCATGGTGAAGGGAGAAACTCACCTCCAGTTGGGGGAGACAGGACAAATCTATATCACGAACGTAGGACATACCGTACAGTGGTAAGGAAGTCTGAAGTTTAAACATTAATAGAAAGTGACAGAATAGCTAACATTTACTGAAGATTGTATACCAAGAGCTATTCTAAATGCTTGTGATACCTTACTTTGTTTTATCTCTGTAACAGCCCCTTTGATGGACAGCATTATCATCCTCATTCTATAGTTAAGGAGGCTGAGAGCAGAGAATTAAAGTAGCTTTCCTGATGCAGAAAGGAGTTAGGTGACTCCAGGAATCACTGTCGGGGACAAACTCATAGATGTAGTGGCAGTGTATCTATTTACTTCATCCTCTTCTTTTCTGCAAATGAGAAGTGGTAGCTTCCAGACAGGGATTCTCTGGGGGACCCAGAATGCAGTTTATCCTGATTTAATCCACCCAAATGAGCGTGTTTTAAAAATGTGTGTATGTGTGTGTGTGTGTGTGTGTGTGTGTGTGTGCTCACATGCCATGGCATTTGTGCAGAGGTCAGGGGATAACTTGCAGGAGTCGGTTCTTCTTCCCTGTGGGTTCTGAGGACCGAACTCAGCAGCTTTCCCCATGCTGTGCCAGCTCGCCAGCCTATCCAATGAGCATTTTTTTTTTTTTTTGAGAACCATCTGTACATTGAATTTCAGTCCATTCTCCTTTTGTTCACTTTATTTTCCCTGGACCTACCAAGTGACCATTTGATTCTACAGCATCCAGGGTCAGGCTGAAACCTTGTTCCTGGTGACCCCAAACTTTGTATCCACTGGACCCAAGAAGCAGAGATGTTTCTGTTGGGACTGTGCAGAACATTTTGAGCCACCAAGGGACCAAAGAATGTCCTAAATTTCTCGAACTACTATTAATGGGGGATTCATCACTTTTTGTTGGGAAATGATTTTAGAAACCCAGTGAAGGCCTTCTGTTTTCCTGAGCACACAACAGGTTTGTGGGTAGCAATTGATTCAAGAAATAGGACAAGTTAAGAATTATTTCAGCAAAAGCTGGACTCTGTGTTCTAGCCCCACCTACGTTTTCCTTTCTGGCTCACATTGCCTGGCACTGCCTTGATGAAGGAAAAGAAAGAGCAGGGAGAGAAGAAGGACTAGGAGAGATGGGGTAAAATGGCACATTATTTTGGGACTGCCAAGACCAACTGGGTACCCACTACCAACAGTTATGGGCTGAATAAAAAACCCTTAGAGATAGCAGTGGACTAGCACCACACCATCTCTCCTCTTCTTATTTCCGTCTAGTCCCATCCTCAAAGCAAAAGTGTAAATGTGAGCACTGGCTGCTTTTGACAGTTCGCTCTAGAGAAGGATGTCGGGCAAAATTCTCAGATGAAATTCAACTGTTGAGGGTAAGGCAGTGTAAAGAACTGACTGTGAGATTCTCTTCTGTTCTTTTTGCAGGCAAACAACCCACTGTATAAAGAGGCCACCTCCACCTTCACCAACATCACCTACCGGGGCACTTAATGAGAAGACGTCATCCTTAGATCATTGTCAGATTAGGCCAGGATTGTGGGAGTCTCTGCCATCATGTTTACAGGGGACAGTATTTGTGGGTGGGATTAGGGGTTTGGATTGGGATGGGCTGGGAAAATGTCAGTATGTGGGAGTGTGTCTCTGTGTGTATGTATATGTATGAGTTGAGTGTGGGGAAATGTGTAATTTAAAATGTGTGATGTGTCCCTTTAGGCAGAGCTCCACAGCCTTTGTCCTCAGAATCCCTCCTGAAGGGATTCTTCCTGCTTAGCTTGAGGGGAACTCATGATGCTGAGCAGGTGCTCTTCATGACCTCTGAGAAGCTAGCTTGCCTTGTCAGGCCGTTCTCCCAGAGGAGAAGGGGGCAGCTGGGGAGCTTCCTTCCAGAGGAAGCGATGCCAAGTCTCGGCTCTCCACTGAGTTTGTAAGGTTCTGGTTCTTGGGCCTGTCCATGGCCACGGTAGAAACTGCTTGGCTTTGGAGACCAGCTGTATCATTTGTGCCTCTGCCCACCTCTCCTCCCTCAGGCTGGAGGTGGAGTCGGGAGAATCGAGTCCTCAAGAGCTGCCTGCGTCTTTCGCCATCACCTCGCTTTGGTTTTTTCATAAGGAAAGTCCTGGACACCTGGCTCTTTGGCCTATTGAGCATGAAGATGTCAGGGCCACTCAGGGGTCATGCATGGCCTGGGGGATGTGCCAGCACCTCTAAGTTCATAATCGCAGTCATTCTTCCCTTGAGATTTGTGTAGAAGTGTTACTGTTACGTCGTCGTTGACACCATCTCTTACCTCCTACTTCCGCATTCTCATTGTTACAGACTTTGCTCTGCACTGAGGAGATGACCAAATGCTTTCCCCTCAGGGGAGAGTGCTATGATCAGAACTAGAGGTCTAGCCCCACTCTCCAGGTCTTCTGCTCCTCTTCCCAGGCACCTCCACACACCTCATCCCTTGCCTCTGTGCGCTACACCCATCCGTGGGGGTGATTGTCTTTAGCTACCTCTTGGGTGTCTTGTGAAGGGGTCATTCCCATTAGTCTGCTGAGCAAAGTGCTGGGAAGAACGATCGGCCAGTCGGATCTGTGTGTGTGGCCTGTTCTCCTCTGGGTTGGACAAGCCTTTAATCTGGGAGGCCGCAAGTGCAATTTTATTTTATTCTCTCTGGGGACACCAAAAACGATGATGAGGTTCACTCACTGTAAAGGAGCATGTATAGGAACATACTTGCATTATTATATTTGTAACTTTATATGATGACAAGGGAGAGCATAAAAACCCACAGACTCTGTGGGATACTGGCACTCCCTTGTGGCATCATTCTTAGTAATTTGCCACTCCATTTCTGCGTCCCTACGGGGCTCCCTCTTCCTGGAAGCATGTGAGGATGGGTATGTGGACATATTGAACCTTTCATAAGGAGGGCGTTAAAACGCCCACCACCTAAAGAAAAGAGACCTCTAACAGTGTTCTTAATGATCAGAAAGTCTGAGTCTTGGCCTCAGGGTTGCAGCTAAAATTTTTTTTTATGTTAAAAGAAAGCCACTTTCTTTTCTCTGGAGTTCAGTTTTCTAGTCTGAAAAGTAATGAATTTGGACCAGGTACTTGGAAGGTTATTTCAAGTGTCAATATTCTTTTAACTTTTTTGAAAGACAGGGTCTTATGTAACCCAGGATGGCCTTAAACTTGCTGTGTGACAAAGGATGACTTGAACTTCCGACCCTATTTGCTGCCACCTCTCAGGTGCTAGAATTGCAGGCATGTGCTATCATGCCTGATTTATGAGGTGCTGGGAATAGAACCTGGGACTTCACACATGCTAGGCAAGAACACTACCAATTGAGTTATAGTTCCAGCTTTAGTATCAACATCCAAAGATGCTGAGATTGCACATGGTATCAAGCATGCAGCCAAGATACTGTGTGTGTATAAGGGGACTGGGATGTTGCTCAGTGGTAGAATGCTTATGGAATGCCCAGGGTTTGATTCTCAGTACTAAAAACATTTATTGTGTGTATGTGTGTGTGCATGTGTGTGTTGCTGTTGCTAGTGTTTGTCTTTCAGTTTTGAGAAATCTGAATTTCCTTGGTTTTTACGAGTGGATGTCATTCTCATAACATCTCAGTGAGTCTCATTCTTTCTCAGAACCGTTTGTTAATGGGTGCATCTAATGTAGCACTTGGTTATCATCCCATTAGTTATTTCTTGTTCACTCTGCATACATTTGCATCTTCGTATCGGGGAAGACCATCAGTAAGGAGTGGCTGGCCCAGGTGTTAGTGGCTGGAACAGGAATAAACCAATGACTGTCCTGTCCTGTCCTTGAGTGACTCTAGGGTTAGGAAATAGGAATATGGCAGAGGGATAAATGAGGGACTGTGAAGGATGATCATGGATCTAAGAAGTTTAGATATTCACTGTAACCTTTAGCTACTGAGGCAGAGCCCATGAGAATAGAGTGGGATTTTCTTTAGAGAAGATGATTTAGATGAGAAAACTATCAGAGGAAGAAGAAAATGTATTAAAAGGATGAAAAGGTGAGTGGGGATCTTGTCTGTTTCTGGAATGAGGCTTATGGTTCTTGAGGACCAGCAATGTTCAGCAGTACATGGGGATACCTGGAGCTGTTTTCACCAGAGGCCGAGGAACAGTCCGTTTGGTATCATGAGAGTGACTATCTAAAATTGTTCTGGCATTGAGCAATCCGGCACAGAGAGATTGTGCCCTGTTCTTTTACAGGTAATTTCTGTCCGGTCTCCGTGTCTGAGGATGGTAATAGGAAATGGACCATGCCTGTGTGATACATTGTTGCATTTGGAGTCAATGGAACATGCCTGTGTGACACATTGTTGCTTTTGGAGTCCGTGTTTCTCTCCCAGATATTCTGAAGTTGCCCACAACACCAAGATACTTCTCTTTGTCAGTTTCTGGTTGGAATTACTTAAGCACCTTCCTGACTTCCTCAACACCTCCTCCTCCGAGTTGTGTAATGGAATTAAATGTGCTTTCCAAAAGAATTGGCCTAAGGCTACCCCATGCTTCCTGTGTTGTTATTTCTGATTTCTCTGGGTGCAAAGAGTGTCGCTGTTTCCAAATGTAACAGAATCGTGATAACTGTGGGAACTGGAACTAGCTCTGGAATCCAGAGTTTCAAAATGAGAAGGTCATTACTTTCTAAGGTTTTGTTTTTCTTAAAATGGGGATTATTTAGGAACTTTTGAAAACAAAGCAGAACAGACTTGTCAACATAGCCTAGGCTTTGCCTGTGGGAATCACAAACCAGTGAAGGCTTCATGGCAAATTATTCTCAGGGCCATTTATATGCCTAACTTCTACTTAAAATGGCTGGTGACACAGAGTGGCCCTGGGACCAACAGTAGCAGTATCACCTAGAAAGTTTAAAAAATGAAGTTGACAGTTCAGTCGTTAAGGATGCTTTCTGCTCTTTCAGAGGACCGGAGTTCAGTTCCCAACCACCTGCAACTCCAGCACCAGAGACTCCCTTTCTGGTGACCATGGGAACCTGCACACACATGTATGTACATACAGACACAGACAGACAGACAGACACACTCATACAAACACACACCAAGAAATGAAAATTGACAAGTCTTATCCCAAACTCTCTCATATGTTCTGAGGAATGTAGAGTTGTTCTGTTGTGGGAGTGTGGACACATAAATCTGGGGAGTTCAAGTGAGTCACGTCAGAAGACCTAGTGATACAGTCATAAGACATGGTAAACAAAAGATAAGAGGCAGCTGCCAGGGGAACAAGACATACTTTTTCACAGTAAACCTTTAAAAAAATAAATAGAAGGAGTACACACTAAAATAATGATTGAAGCATAGTATGGTAAATACATAGCCAGCAACACAGCTATTATCAAGTATTGAATACTGTATACAACTGTATGTTTTATACTTTGACAGCAACAGGTTCATTTACGAGCTTATATATGATAACTACGATGTCACTAAGTGATAAGAAAATTCAACTCTGTTATAATCTTATGTGGCCACTGTCATATATATAAAATGCTGTCATATGTCATATAAGGACTGAATAACAAAATCTGAGGGGATGGGAACGAATACAGAGACCCATAGTCAGACATTACACAGAGAGTGAGAGACCTTGGAATACTCAGCCATCAGATCTCTTCCCCCCAGAGCTTAGGGGACCCCAAGGAAGAGGGGGCAGAAAGAGTATAAGAGCCAGAGAGGATGGAGGACACAAGGGAAACAAGAGCCTCTAAATCAGTATGAGCAAAGCTCATATGAACTCACAGACGGACGCAGCGTGCACAAGGCCTGCACAGGTCTGTACCGGGTCCTCTGTTTATGATAGCTTCCAGGTTAGTGTTTATATGGGATTCCTGAGTGTGTGAACAGGTGGGTCTCTGACTCCTGAGCCTTCTCTTGGGCTCTTTTCCTTCTGTTGGTTTGTCTTGTCCAACTTCGATGTGATAGTCTTTGTTTTATCTTACGATACTTTATCTTGCTGTATTTTATTATTATCTCTTAGAAACCTAAAGACAGAAAGAGAGTGGATCTGCATGGGAGGGGAGGTGGGAAGGAACTAGGAGGAGAAACTGTAATCAGGATATGTAAGAAAATAATCTATTTTCAAAAAAGGAAAAAAAGTGGAAAATTTGAGGGTGGAGTCCAGCAATCTGTTTTAACGTGCCCTCCCAGTGATTCTGCTGAATGCTTGTTTGAGAAAAACTGTTAGAATACTTCAGAGCCATTGATGGTATGTATGTGTCCTGGCATAGAAGTTTATCATTAGTTAGTTCAGTTACTATACTGCAGACATTCATTGGTGGATGGGTTCAGAAAGCCAGATATTCACTCACACGAAAAATCCCTTTAAACATTTAAAAAAAAATATTATATATATATATATATATATATATATAGAGAGAGAGAGAGAGAGAGAGAGAGTGTGTGTGTGTGTGTGTGTGTGTGTGTGTGTGTGTGTGTGAGAGAGAGAGAGAGAGAGAGAGAGAGAGAGAGAGAGAGAGAGAGAGAGAGAGATTGAGATTAGAAGATAACTTGGTGGGAGTTGGGTCCTGAAGATTGAACTCAGGGTTTGGTGGCAAGTGCCTTTACTCACTGAACCATCTTGCCAGCCCTGAAAATTAACTTTTGATTCATTTTGATTTAGGAATTCTTGAGTTTCTTCATAGCCACAAGTTCCTTAAAAACAAACAAATAAAACAAAACAACAAAAACTAAAAGAAGCAATAGATGGGGGTTCCTGACAAACAAGTATAAGGATATACTTACAACAGTATTTTTCTTTGCCTCATAAATTCTTTACATAATGAACATTTTGGGAGGCTGGAGAAATAGTCAGTGGTTAAGAATGCATAATTGCTTTTGCAGAAGATACAAATTCAGTTCCAGCACTCAAGTAAGGCCACACCAGCACCTGTAACTCTGATTTCTGAGGATCTGCTGCCATCTTCTGGAGACTGTGAGCACCTGCACTCAAGTGCATATACCCTCCTCCCTGTGCGTAATTTAAAAAAGTCCTGTGAGAGGGCATGATAATACATGCCTTCAATCCCAGCACTTGGGAAACAGAAGAGGACAGAGCTCTGTAAGTTCCAGGCCAGCAGGGTACACAGTGAGACACTGTCCCCCCCAAAAAATCTTTGAAATAAACATTTGGGGACAAAGAGATGGCACAATGGTTAAGAGAACCCACTGCTGTTCCAGAGGACCAGGGTTCAATTCCCAGCACTGACATGGTGGCTCTCAATTGTTTGTAACTCCAGTCCCAGAGGATCTGATGTCCTCTTTTGGCCTCCTCAGATACTGGGCATGAATGCAGAGTACAGACATACATGCAGACAAAACATGCATACACATAAATCAAAAAACATTTTGACAACACAATATACAACATCACAAAAAATTCTTGAGTGGACACTGACTATCATTTCATGCTGAAATCCTGTGGGATTTGTTTATAAGTGTATCACCCTAAATGAGACCAGTCTTGTCTGAGGTCTTGTGAGGGTCTCTCTGTCTCATTTACATTTAGACATTTGTTAACTAAATGTCTAGGGATGGAATTTTTGTGTTATTGTTTCTGTGACAAACACTTGAGAGAAATACAAGAGGAAAGAGTTATTTTAGGTCACGGTTTTGAGGTTTCAACCCATGGTTGGCTGGACCCATTGCTTTTCGGTAAGACAGAAACACTGTGGTGGGAGGGCATGGTGAAGACTGTTCTTCATGGTAGACAGGAAAAGAGGAAGGGCTGGGGATGAGATAGTCTTTCAAAGGCATACACCTGTGACCTGCTTCCTCTAGCCAGGCCCTCCTAGTTTTCACCACCTCAATGCCATCAAATTATGAATCTATTGCAATTTGATAATATAATGTGAATCTGTTGATTAGATCTAGAGACTTTCTGATCCTAACACCTCCCTAATACCCCTCTGACTATTGCAATGGGGGTGAGTCTGGGGCAGTGAGTGAAGCGCTTGCCGTGTAAGCCTGACCACCTGAGTTCAATCCCTGGAACCCAGAGAAAGGTGGAAGGAGAGAGGCAACTCCACAAAGTTGTCTGTCCACACGTCACACGCACACACACACAGAAATTAAAAAATACAAATTTAAGTGGGGGAATTGGAGCACAGAAAGAGTGAGACTAAAGCATGACTTTTGCCTTGCACGGCAAACTATTCTGTAGCTCTACGTCCTACATCTGGGGTGTTGTGAGCCATGATGTGCTGGGCGGCCCTGTCCCTGCGGCCTTGTCCTTTGCAGCCCATACGGCTCTTCTAGTAGGCTGGGTCTAGAAAGCCTACAGCTTTCTTCAGAAGAGTCTACGTTCCTGCCATCTCCAACGTCCTAGTCTTCACTGCAGCTCTGGCTTTTTTTTTTTTTTTTTTTAAACAGCTATGTGCATTACTATCTCCAGGGGTGACCCTGGCACACACTGCCTGACCTCCTTAGGCCTCCCCTTCAAATCTGAAGGAAGCCTTCTTGACTTCACAAGATTTGCACTTTGCATACCTGAAAAACCAGCATGCCACGGAGGATGCCAGTGCTTCTGGGTGTTCAGGATGGCTGAGTATGGAGAAATGTCCCTACAAAGTCCTGTGCAACAGAGCAATCGGGATCTCTCTTCTCAAAGCAAGGCCTTTCAAATAAGTTTATTCCTCTGCTCTATTTCTTGCTCCAGATCTCTCTGAAAACTTAGCTCAGCTGGTGATACCCAGGCACCGCCGGTGTGGTTTACTGTCTTGAGATTTTCCCTATCTGATAAACAATTTATCACCTTCAGAGTCAGTCTCATACAATGCCTTGTGGGGGGGGGGGATGGACAATATGTGAACATGTGTGTGTGTATGCACATGTGTGTATGTGTGTGCATGTGTGTGGATATGTGTGTATGTGTGTGTGCCAGGATGTAACACAAATGGCTTCCAATCCCATTTCCAACAAAGTCCTCATTTCTATATGAAACTTCATGAATGTGCTCTTTACTGTCCACATCTCAAGGTGATTGGTGTGTGGAGCAGCAACTGTGTTAGGATTGTCTAGAGCAGTGGTTCTCAACCTTCCTCATGCTGCAAACACTAATACAGTTCCTCGTGTTGCAGTGATACCCAACCATAAACTTATTTTCGTTGCTACTTCATAACTGTAATTTTGCTTCTGTTATGAATCATGATGTTAATATATTTGTTTTCTGATGGGCTCTGCGAAAGGGTTGTTCAACCCAAAGGGGTCAAGACCCACAGGTTGAGAACTGCTGGACTAGAGGAATCTATAGAATGAATATATATTACAAAGGGCATTTATTAGGCTGGCTTACACAATGCATGCTGGGTAGGCCAATAATTGCTGCGCACTGAAAAGGCTGAGAACACACACTAGCTGCTCAGTCCGAGAAGCTGGATGCCTCAGTGGCAGTGTCACAATCTGGTGCTGAAGGCCTGGAGTCCTGGAGTGATGCCGGTCTTCAGTCTGCATTGGAAGGCTGACGAATTTGGGTTCTGATGTCAGT